GTAGTTTTTCATTCGCAAACAAAAATAAGAGGCTGGGAATATAGCTTAGCGGCACAGCGCCTGCCTAGCAAGTGCAAGGTCCTGAGTTCGAATTCCGGTACCAAAAAAAAAAAAAAAAAAAAAAACCAAAAAAAAAAAAAAAAAAGCGCCCAGTACTCAGGAGGCTGAGGCAGGAGGATGGAGGCTGAGGCAGGAGGATCGAGGCTAGCAGGAGCTATGCAGTGAGTTCAGGGCTGGCCTGGACTATAAAGCAAGACCTTGTCTCAAGGTGGGGCTGATTCTGGATTCAGTCAGACCTGGAATTTGAATTTGAGGGCAGTGGCAGAGTCAAGGTGAAGCACTAACACCTGGACATAGACCCAGGGCCATCAAAACAAAAAATTTAAGAGTTCAGGCAGATGCATTGTGGCAAGCACTGCCCCTCTCTGCCTCCGTTTTGTCCTCTGTTCAGTGGGGGTGAGGTTATTCCTGCTAGGGTTATCTGGGTGCTAGAAGGGCAGGGGCGCTGGCATGGTAGTGACACTGGATGAGCGACAGGTATTTCTGATAAAACGCTGCTCACTGCACCTGAACCCCAACCCCACTGGAAGAATTCAGGTATTTGAAGTGGAGGGCAGACAGAGGTGAACGGCTGGTGACTGGACAGAACGCGGGGGTTGGTTTGCTGTGTCACTCTGTTGGGGCCCTGGCCCTCTTATGGCCCCTCTTGGTGGGGCCTTAGACTTTGAGATATCTCTGCTGCAAGAGTCTGAGGACTCGACCCAGCTGCAGAGGGAAAAGGGCAGAAGAGGGGCTCCCGGGGCTCAAGGACAGGGGGCCTGGGAGGCTGCCAGCTTCTCATGATCCCTCCCTCCTCTGGCCCCGGCCCAGCTCGGCCAGCCCCCTCCCATCAGGAGGCCTCCCTGTCCCCCAGGCGTCCCTAGCTTGGGAAATAAACTGCAGATAAGTCAGGGTGGGGACACAGTAGGCTCCAGGCACGCGTAGGAGAGGAGCTAGGCGCCAGGAGGGCAGCATGCGCTTCCAGCAAGACAGGTAAAATCTGGGGCTTGGAAGGGCTTCGGAGTGTGTAACCTTCCAGCCCCAGACGGTGCCAAGAACTCTTCGGGGCCACACAGCGGACCCCAAGTGGCTCTCCACGTCCACGTCCACGTCCACGTCCACTTCTTCCTCTTCTGGGGACGCCGCCAGTGAAGGCCACCCATGCCCGCAGGTCGAGCACGGAGCTGCGCAAAGAGAAGTCCCGGGATGCGGCCCGCAGCCGGCGCAGCCAGGAGACCGAGGTGCTGTACCAGCTGGCGCACACGCTACCCTTCGCGCGCGGCGTCAGCGCCCACCTGGACAAGGCTTCCATCATGCGCCTCACCATCAGCTACCTGCGAATGCACCGCCTCTGCGCCGCAGGTGAGCCCGGCCCGCGTCTTCCCGTCCCGCAAGGGCCGCCCCCCTGGAAGGCTTCCCCGTGGACCCCACTGCCCTGGAATCCGCTCTGATCGAGGCTCCGCCCCTGGGAAGCCCAGCGCTCTTGGAAGTCCCGCCCCCATCGTGGTCTATTATTCTGAGGCCCCGCCCCTGGGAGTGCTTCTTTGAGAACCCCTGCTGCCTTAGAGTTCTGGGGCCAGATAATTCCCTGCAGCCCCTCAGCCCTTAGATTTGGTCCCTTAGGAGATGTTTGCGGGGTAGGCTCTCTTCCCTCACAATAAATACCCCTGGGAGGCTCCGCTACCCAATTTTTAATCCCTTGACAGTTCCTTTTCCCGCTGCCACCTCTCCTCCATCTATAGCTTGTTCCGAAGTAGCCCTCCCCTTGAATTTCTACCCAGCTAGAATTCCATTCTGCAGGAGACACACACACACACACACACACACACACACACACACACACACACAGGTCCTGGAATCCCAGGACCTTGAAAAGATTTGATTATGGAGGAAATAGAGTCATCTTGTGTCAGGCACTGCCCATTAGTTCCCTGCCCCATAGAATGTTACCCCTCCGAGAGGCCTTGCCCCCTTGAAATTCTGACCCCCGGGAGCCTCTGCTCTGTTGGACTTCTGCATCTAGAAAATCGTGCCCTTCTAGAATCATGGGGGGGGGGGAGGTGTTGCCCCAACCCTTAGAACTCCAGACCTCACCCTGGCCCTGACCCCTTTGAATTTTGACCCCTGGGAGTTCCATCTTCTTAGAGTTTGGCCCTCCTAGGAGTCCCACCCCTTAGAATTGTGTCCCTTGGGGAAGCGCAGTGGTCTGTCCTGCCCTCTCCTTTGGCACTCCAAGCCACTACAATGTGCCCCCACTCACCCGGGAAGACCCCGAGTGGGGAAAGGCAGAGGGAGGCCAGCCAGGGTGGGCCCAGGACTGATGAGTGACACCTCCATCCCCCTGCCCTGGGTACCAGGGGAGTGGAACCAGGTGGGGGCTGAGGGAGAACCACTGGACGCCTGCTACCTGAAGGCCCTGGAGGGCTTCGTCATGGTGCTCACCACCGAGGGAGACATGGCTTACCTGTCGGAGAATGTCAGCAAACACCTGGGCCTCAGTCAGGTGAGCTGCCCGCTCTGTACCTGGCCCTGTGCGGTGACGCTGGGAATAGCATGGTGAGTGCCCAGCGTTAGCCCTGCTTGTACGGGACTCACAGGACATGGGGGATGGGTGTGTCACCAGACACCAAGGGACAGAATGGTCAACGCTGAGATGGAGCAGCCTAGGGGTATGGGAAATGGGGCAGGGGTACCTCACCCTGCCTAGGGGTGTGGGGGTTTCCTGGAGAAAGGGACATTTGATCTGATATGTGAAGGACTTCAAGTCAAAAGGGTATGGGAAAGGGGTGACCAGTGAAGATCAAGAATGTACACGGTAGAAGGCAGAACATGTAAACACTGAGAGGTGAGATAAAACAGCATTTGGGGCCAGGCATGGTGGCACACACCTGTAATCCCCGCACTCGGGAGGCTGAGGCAGGAGGATCGTTGCAAGTTCGAGACCAGCCTGGACTACAACATGAGCTCAAGGCCAGCCTGAACTGCATAGTGAGACCCTGTCTCAAAAGAGGCCAAAAAAACCTGCCTGGCAAGCGCAAGGTCGTGAGTTCGGTTCCCGGTACCGGAGAAAAACAAACAAAAAAAAAAAAAAAAAAAAAAAAAGCAGCATTTGGGGAAATAAAAGAAATTTCTCCTGGCTAGAGGCACAGTGCAGTGGGAGAAGTTGAGAGAGAAAAGGCTAGAGAGGTCAGCAGAGACTAGATAATATAATGCCAAACCCAGAAGGGTTTGTCTTTCAGGCACTGGGGAGCCATGGAAGGACATAAAGCAGAGAAGAACAACCACATGTATGTTTTAGAAAGGTCCCTCATGGGGTTCGCACTGGAGGGAGTGAGATAGGGGTTGGGAGATCAGTGAGGGGTGGACACTGATCTCAGGCAGGAGAACAAGGGTAGGACAGGACCCATGGAGATGGGGAACTAGAAATAAGAGATACTTAGAAAGCAGAACTACTTTTAATTAACCCTTAATCATGCCTCAAGAATTCCCCCAGTGGAATTCCTGTTCCTCTCCTATTTTATATAAATGGGTTCTGGAGCTGACCTCTGTTCCCCTGTTACATAACCCCACTCCTGGTACCAGTTTTTCTGTTGCTGTGAGTTCTTGGATTCAGAGAGGTCAGTGTTCCAAGGTCCCAAAGCTAGGTGGTGGCATAGCCAGGATTCAAACCCAGCTACAAGAGGTCCTTTTAAAGGAATAAGATGTCATTCTGCTACCAGTGAGTTGGCAGCCACTGTGAGTCCTCTTTCATCTGTGTCCCCTCCTCCCAGCACCAAACTCATTTCCTAAACTGAAACCAGTGTGTAATTCACCTCAGGGCTTTTGCACTTGCTGCTTCTTTTTTTTATAACACCCTTACCCCAAGGAACCACAAGCCCACCTCACTTGCTTTTGCTCAGCAATTTTTCAAGTATCACCTCCTCAAAAAAGCTGTCCAGGGCCGCTCTCTCTACACAAATCCTCTTGTTACATCACTTTACCCTGCTTTAGTTGTCTGTCTCTTTGTCATTTGTCATGCTGTTCTTATCTGTTGTTTTGCTTTATTGACCGTCTTGCCTGACTATCCGGTAAGTTCTTCAAGGCAGAGATCTGTCTGGGTGGTCACTGATGTGTCCTTACAGCTTAGAAGAGGGCCTGGCAAACAGGTGCTGAATAAATGGTTACTCAGACAATGAATGCATGAATGGATGGATGGATGGGAAGACGGGTGGAAGAACCAGGCTGTTGGGGCAAGAGTGATGAGCAGGGGAAAGGGGAGAGTGACCCCCCCAACACTCCTGCCCTGCCCCTGCCCGCAGCTGGAGCTCATTGGACACAGTATCTTCGATTTCATCCATCCCTGTGATCAAGAGGAGCTCCAGGATGCCCTGACTCCCAGGCCCAGTGAGTGCCTCGCAGGCTACACCCCCACTTTCAGAGAGGGAAACTGAGGCTCCCTCCCTCCCTTAGTATAGCCCCTCCTCTGGAACATTAGACCTTGACAAGTCCAGCCATGAGATCTGAGGGGTCACACCGTGCCTCTGGGGGACCCTCTCTGGCTCTAGGTCCCGGTTTTGGGGATAAGGCTGGCCAGCCTTTAGCATCCAGGTGCCGGAGGGCATTAGGCCCTCTGCAGCTTCTTGGTGACCCGCCCACCATCCCGGTGCCTCTAGGCCTGTCCAAGAAGAAGCCAGATGGCCCCACCGAGCGGTGCTTCTCCTTGCGCATGAAGAGCACCCTCACCAGCCGCGGGCGCACCCTCAACCTCAAGGCAGCCACCTGGAAGGTGGGCGGGGCCTGACCCAGAGGTGGGCGGGGACAGCCTGGAGGGGCAGGGCTTGTGCCCAGAAGTTCTCACAAGTATGGGAGTCTGTCTCTTGGTCCAGTATCCTGCGGGGCCCCTCAGTGTGGACCTAGGAGGACTTTAGGGCATCTAGGAAGCTGGATATCTGTGGGGATGGGCTCTAGGGGTCCTTGTAACCTTTCTCAGGCTGGACCTCTGGGGGTCCTCAGCCCTCTGCGCGTGGAGTTTCCGCGCAGCTGGAATGTGGCGCCCCCAGAGTGCCTCAAAGCTGACCCTCTGAGATCCTCAGCGTTTTCTCCGTCACGGCCCCCTGGGGAACCCCGGGCCCAGAGGCAAGCTCAGCACACTCACTCCACCCCCAGGTGCTGCACTGCTCTGGACACATGAGGGCCTACAAGCCCCCAGGTCAGACAGCCCTGGCCGGGAGCCCCAGCTCCGAGCCTCCCCTGCAGTGCCTGGTGCTCATCTGTGAGGCCATCCCCCACCCAGGCAGCCTGGAGCCCCCGCTGGGCCGGGGCGCCTTCCTGAGCCGCCACAGCCTGGACATGAAGTTCACCTACTGCGACGAGAGGTGGGCAGTGCCCAGAGGCCCACTCTCCACCTCGGCCCTCCCTCCTCTGATGCCATCTGTCCCGCTCCCAGTGTCTGCCTGTCTGTCTCTCTCTGAATGGACCTCGGTTCTCTCTCAAGATCTTAACTTCATCATGTCTACAAAGTCCCTTCTTCCTGTCCGACTCCATCTTTTCATGTTCCAACAACTAGGATGTGGACATCTTTGGGGGCCAAAATTCAGCACTCCACACTTCTCCTTTTATTTTTTATTTTTTTGTTTGTTTTTGTTTTTCCGGTACCGGGAATTGAACTCACGACCTTGCACTTGCCAGGCAGGCGCTGTGCCGCTGAGCTAAATCCCCAGCCCCCACACTTCTCTTTTTAAATGTCTTACTCTCTCCTCTCTCTTACAACCCTGTCTCATCTTGCTGGCTGTGTGCCCGCATCCTCAGCTCCTTACCTCCCCTCCCCTTCACCTCAGCCCTGAGCCCTGACCGGACCCCTCCGTCCCACCCCAGGATCGCAGAGGTCGCCGGCTACAGCCCAGATGACCTGATTGGCTGCTCCGCCTATGAGTACATCCACGCACTGGACTCAGATGCAGTCAGCAGGAGCATTCACACCTGTATGTGACTTCTTTCCCCAGCCAGAGCCAGCTGCCACCTGGACCCCAGCCAACACCTCCCCCCGCCCCCCCCACTCCCCAGGGAGCTTTTGCCTCCCCCAAACCCCACAGAGCCTTCTCCTCCCTGGCCACTCACTCCTAACCCCCAGGCCCCAGGTGCCCTTCCATAGCTCTGACCCCTCTCTGCCCCCTCCCCAGTGCTGAGCAAGGGCCAGGCAGTGACAGGGCAGTATCGCTTCCTGGCCCGGAGTGGTGGCTACCTATGGACCCAGACCCAAGCCACGGTGGTGTCGGGGGGCCGAGGCCCCCAGTCAGAGAGTATCATCTGCGTCCACTTCCTGATCAGGTGAGCAGAGGAGAGAGGGGTGGTGATGTGTGTGGGGCTGGTCTGTGCGTATGCACAAGTGTGTGTGTGTGTGTGTGTGTGTGTGTACATGTATGCATGTGTATTGTGCACAGGTGTGTGAGGATGTGCACACGTGTATATATATGTGGAATGTGTGTGGCCGAGTGAATCCACACCCATGTGTCAGCATGTACACATGCACGTGTGTGTGTATCTTGATCATTTAATTAAAATTAAAAATTTAACTCTATATTTTAGTTGAAATAAGAAATGCACTGGGCATAGTAGTGCATCCCAGCACTCTCGGGAGCCTGAGTTAGGAGGATTGCAAGTTCCATTCCAGCCCAGGCAACTTAGCAACTTGGTGAGACCCTGTCTCTAAATAAAAGAAGGGCTGAGGATGTAGCTCAGTGTGAAGGCCCCAGGCTCAATCCCCCATACCACCACCACCACCAGAAAAACAAAAACAAAACAAAAACAAAAAAACCCAGAATCAATAGGATCTTTTTTTTCTTTTAAAAATGTGAAGTAGGGCCGGGGATATAGCTTAGTGGCGCAGTGCCTGCCTGGCAAGCACAAGGTTGTGAGTTCGATTCCTGATACCAAAAAATAAATCAACACATAAAACAAAATTTAAAAATCTGAAATATAATTTGCATTCACACCTGTAATCCCAGCACTCTGGAGGCTGAAGCAGGAGGATTGCTGCAAGTTTGAGGCCAGCCTGGGCTACAAAGTGATTTTAAGGCCAGCCTAAACTGCACATCAAAACCCTGTCTCAAAAAAAAATTACATGTGCAGGAAATTCTTACACAGTTCTGTGAGTTCTGAAAAATGTATGTAATTGTGTAACCACTACCACAAGCAAGCTATAGAATAGTCTCATCACCCCCCAAATTCTTTTGTAGTCACCCCCTTCCTTGCCTCTGGTCCCTGGTAGCCACCCACAGGTGCCCTGACCCTGGAGTTTTGCATTCTCCAGGATGTCGGGTACAGGGCGTCATAGTCTGCAGCCTTTGGGGTCTAGCTTCCTTGGCATGATGTACAGATGCACCTCCACTTTCCTGACAAACCTACTGGAAGATGAAAATATTGTAAATCAAAAATGTATCAAATACACCTGAACTACCAGACCCCATAGCCCAGGCCCATAGCAAACCATGCAGCAGGAGTCCTCCAGCATCACAGGGTGTGTATCACCAGGCTGGGAAAAGATCAAAAGGCAAAACACAAGTATAGTCTCTACTGAATGCATATTGCTTTTGCACCAATGTAGAGTTGAAAACTCATCCACTGAACCGTTGTAGGGCCAGGACTGTCTCTATTTAAGTTTCACCCGTGCTGCAGTATGCATCAGTAGCTCCTTTGGAACACTGGCGTGCATCCCACAGTATGAATGGATCACAGTTTATGTACCTTTTCACCACTTGGAGGACTTGGGGCTGTTTGCTATTTTGGGTGATCCCAAAAACAGCTACTGTAAACATTCTCATAGGGGGTTTTGTGAGATCACGTGGTCTCGACTCTCTTCAGTGAACGTCTAGGAGTGCAATGGGTGGGTCATATAAGTGTATATTTATCTTCTCAAGAAACTGCCAAACTGTTTTTCAAAGTAGCTGTACCATTTTGCGTTCCTAGCAGGAACGTATGAGATTTCTACTTGTTCTGCATTCTTGCCAGCAAGTATCCTGAAATACAAATCAATTCACGCTTCACATCTCTGCACTGCTCACAAGCCCTTTTGTGGCTCTCACACACCCTTGAGAGGAAGCCCAAGAACCTCTGGGACTCCTACCTCATTCCCTTCTGTCACTCACCAAACCTCAGGACCTTTGCACATGCAGCCTCCCCTACCAAGAATGCCCTGCTCTCTCCCCTCCCTCCCATCCTTTTGGTCATGACCCCTCATCTGTCCAGTCTCAGCTCAGACATCACTTCCTGAGAGACCCTTCTCCCGAGCCCCCATGTGCAGTCTGATCTCCCCACTTTCTCTCCTGGTAGTCTGTACCTTTTGCTGCAGAGTCCTTAAAACTATTTGTAATTATCATATTTTCTTGTATGTTCAGCCAGGCCTTTTCTGAGTCCACTTTTCAAAACTGCAGATTCTTTTCTCTGCTTGATTTTTTCCCAGTACTTATCACTACCCCAACACTGCCCTATAAAATCACGATGCCAGCCACTTGTGCCATTTTGAATTTTCTAATAGCCACGTGAAGGTGAAAAGATGCAGGTAAAATTAATTGTGAGAGTAAATCTTATTGTGTGTAGATGTACATAGAATATGACCAAAAGTCATTTCCACATGGCATCCTTATTGAGATATTTTAGATCTTTGTATGTGGGGTGAGGTGCTGGGGACTGAACCAGGGCCTTAGGCAAGCTAGGCAAGTGTGCTCCCACTGAGCTACACTCTCAGCCTGCAGATCCTTTTCTTAATGCTCAGTTTAAAAAAGATCTAGTGTGTATCTTATAGTACACCTCAGTCCTGGCTAGCCAAGTGCAAATGGTTTGCTTATTAGACAGATATGTAGATACACTTAACAAAAAGAATATATTTTATTAAGAGTCTGTCTTTTTCCTAATAGTCTGTCTTTTCCCATGAGGGCCAAGAGTTTTGTCTGTCTGGTTTACTGCTGAATCCCTGTGCATAGAACAATGCCTGAAAAAAAAAAGAACAATGCCTGGTACATAGTAGTTGCTCAGTTAAAAAAAAATACAATAACACGCATAGTTCCCACTACCTGCCTGGCACAGTTCTGTACATTTTACATATATTCACAACCTGGGCAGGTGGTACTGTTATTGTTTCCCCCTTGACAGAAGAGGAAATTGAAGTGCAGAGAGGTTCAGCCACATGTTCAAGGTCACCCAGCTCACAAGTGGCAGAGCTGACATTTGGAGCCAGGCCACTCGCTCTGAAGTTTTTGCTTTCAACCACCCCCATGGGACTGTGTGACCACAGGTGCCTGTGGAGTGATCGGGAGTGAGCGCGGTGGGTGAACGTGCATGTATGTGTATTGCATGTGTGCATACTTGTGCCTGCAAGCACTTGGATGTATATGAGTTCTCCTTTCTGTACCTCTGTGTCTTAGTGTGGGTTCATGTGCCATTGTTCAGACTGCAACTTTGGGGAGGATAGGGTGGCTTCAGTCCAGTCTGAATTGGGATGTTTCCAGGCTATGACAGGTTTAGTAACGGGGGAGAAGACCAGGCCACCCTCTGCCCTATAGAGTGTTATGCTAATGAGATGCAGATGAGATACAGATGAGATGCAGATGAGGGCATGCTCCTCAGCCCCAGATTCGCTCCTCAAAAGCCACTGTGTCCTGAGAGCATGTGCAGAGTCTCCGCAGCTGGAGACCGTGAGCCCGGAGACGTGGGGACATAGGAAGGATGGATTTAGAAACCTGTTCCCTTCAGCTTGAAAAAAGTCTATGAATAGAAGCTTCCTAAATAAAACACTTATTCACAAAAATGTAGCCCTATGAATTCTTCATGTTGGGTAACGTAATGCTGAATATATGTCTTTTGTCAGTGTCCTCAGAAGATGTTTATAAGTAAATTATTATAAAGGGAATAGTTAGGTCTCAAGGCTTTCAGACACTCCATCCCAGGTCGCCCCACCCTGTCCCTGCAGCTCCACCCCCTCTCTGTCTCTCAGTGGCCCTGTTCCTTCCCCAGCCTCCCTTCCCTCTCCCCAGCCTGCACCAGATGCCAGCTCTTTTCCTCCCTTCCTTCCACAGAAGGAGCTTGGGAAGTGACAAACTGAACTGTCATTTGTTCTGTCGTCCATCTTTTTTTTGGTTGTTGTAATTGTTTCTTTGAGACGGGGTCTCACTTTGTAGCCCAGGCTGGCCTCCAACTCCTGATCTTCCTGCCTCAGCCTCCCAAGTGCTGAGATTACAGGCATTCAAAACCCCAGCAGCTTCAACTGTCTTTTTAATACCATTACAGGTTGAATTCCTTACCTGAAAGAAAGGCATGTTTTAAGAGTTTGGATTTTGGAGTATTTGCTTATACATAATGAGTTGTCATGGGGGACTCAAGTCTAAACAGAAAATTCCTTTATGGCCAGGTGTAGTGGCACACACCTGTAATCTCAGCACTCAGGAGGCTGAGGCAGGAGGATCACTGTGAGTTTGAGGCCAGCTGGCGCTACAAAGTGAGTTCAAGGTCAGCCTGAACTATACAGTGAAACCCTGTCTCAGAAAGACAGAAAACAAAACACCTTTATGCTTCATGCACGCCTTATACACATAGCCTGAAGGTAATTATATACAATTGTTTAAGTAATTTTGTACACAAAACAAACTGTCACAGAATAAAATTTTCTACAGTGGCATCATGTTGGTGCGCCAAAGGTTTCAGATTTTGGATTTTCTGATTATGGATACTCAAGCTGTATAATAACAAGCCATCAACAAAAGTCAAATCCTGATAGGAAACAAATCTCCACAGATTATTTTCTGCAATACCCCCTCCAGCCTCTGACGCGATTATCTTTTCTATTAGGACCTCACTGGAGGGGGCGGCCGGGGCTGGCCCGGAAGACCCTCTCTGACTCTTACCCTTCTTCCTCTTTCTGCCTTGTACCCCAGCCGGGTGGAAGAGACCGGAGTGGTGCTGTCCCTGGAGCAAACAGAGCAACACTCTCGCAGACCGCTTCAGCGTGGCACCTCCTCTCAGAAGGATGCCCCTAATCCTGGGGACAGGCTTGGTATGGAGCAGGGCTGTTGTGTCCCCGGGACCCTTGGGAGAAAGCCCGAGTGCCTTGCCATGGCTCACAAAGCCCTGGAGGACCCAACTCCTGCCTCATTTCGCTTGTCACTCCCTCTCGAACCCACACAAGCTTCCTCATAGCTCTTGGGATGCACCAGATTCTGGCCTCAGGGCCTTTGAACATGCCCAGAATGCTTTTCTGTCTCTGCTGTTGTCCCTCTTCCTTTACCTCTATGGGATGATTGCTTCAGTGTCTTGTCGTCCTCTGCTCTGAATCCTGCTATGGCTCCCTAGCTCACACCAGACTGCTCTTTGGCGTCCAGTAATCTTGACCCTCATGAGTGGCTCTTTTCTCCCTCCTCCGTCTTCCCTGCCACCATCCCAGATGAGCTTCCCCTCTCAGCTTCTCCAGGCTGGTGCTGGCCGCTTGTGCCTCTGGGTATGGAGTGCGATTGTTGATACCCTTTCCCTTTGGGGCTCAGAGCTGGCTATTTTGACCTCTAGGGACCTCTACACATGCTTGGGGCTTGAGCCAGTTGTTTCTTTCTTACCACGCAAGCCCCCCAGAGCTGAAGAGCTGCACGCTATTTCAGGCCCCCGAGCCCTTCCCCTGGACCCTGCAGGGCCTCCCCACAATCTGGCAATGAAAGTTTGCACTTGGCGGGGTCCTCCGAGCCCCCTCTCCCCAGCCCTGAGAACAGCAGCCATCCTGGTTGGTGTTGCTCCCTGGCCTTGGTATGAGGGGCGGGTCTGGTCTTCAGGTCTAGCTGGTCACCCTGTGTCCTCACCATCCTGCAGATGACCCGGGTCCCCGGATCCTGGCCTTCTTGTACCCCTCTACCCTGAGCGAGGCCACGCTGGCTGCTGACCCCCGCCGCTTCTGTAGCCCGGACCTGCGCCGCCTCCTGGCACCCATCCTGGATGGGGCTGCAGTAACCACCACCCCCAGCACACCACAGGCCGTCCGGCGCCCCCGAAGTCCTCTCCCGGTAAGCAGCCCCAGTCCCACCCACTTGGCCTGGGGCTTGAGCCTTGCTTTTCCCTGGGCCTCAGTTTCTCTACCTGCTGAAGGGGAAGGTTGGGATGAGATGGGGCTGGAGTTCCTTTAAGACACGACTTCTAGATTCTTCACCTGTGAGACTCCAGGGTCTGGCCCCAATCTGGGTTGGGAGTCTCCAGGAAGTCTGAACTGGTACGAGTGACACCTCCAGCTGCGACTGAGCTCCAGGCCCTCTGCACTTTGGCCTCAAAGAGTCAGGAAAGCCTTGACTCATTTACTGACGAGTCAAGGGTTCAAATCCTGAATCTGCTCCTTACCAGCTCTGTCACTGCTGGGCAAGTGAATCCTCGAAGCCTAGGTGAACTACAAGGAGCCACGTCCCTGGTCCCTGGAGGGTGAAATGAGAACACGCACGGGAATCAAGGAGAAGGGGCCTGCCATTCACAGCTGTGAATGGCCTGCCATTCACAGCTCTGCCATTCACAGACCCCAGTGGCAGCTGTTCTTCCTTTCCTTTTTTTTCTTTAAAATTTTTAAAAATTTTTTATGTTTTTTTTTATTTTTTGAGAAAGGATCTTCCTATGTAGCCCAGGCTGGACTCAAACTCATAGCAATCCTCCTGCCTCAGCCTCCTGAGTTGCTTGGATTACAGGCATGCCCCACCATACCCAGTTTAGCAGCAGCCATTTCTACCACAGGGCAGGTAGTCAGCTCTTTGACCTCTGTGGGCTCTATTACCCACTGCTCACTGTCCTCATCTCTACCTTCTACCCCAGAAGATACCCTCGCTCTGCTGGAGAAATACAACTGTGACTTTTGACCTCACTGTTTATCCCAGGAAAGCTGGACTCTACAGACTTCAGACCCCAAAACGCTTAACCCCAGGGGGCCTGGATGTCTTGGCTTCTGGCTCTGGTCTTTCTGACTTTCCTAGTCTGTCCTGTTGATGTGCATGTACCCAGGTGCTCTGACCCTTCCACACCTCGGGTCAGCCACCCCCAGCACACCACAGGCATCCCTGCATTTCCTGTTGGACCCCCTGGCACCCCAGCAGTCTGACATTTGACCCTTGTTTCTATCCTGAGCTCCAGAATGTCTTAGTGTTGACACCACTCAGATCTGAAGAGTTCCTTGTTTCTGCTGTGTTCCCTACAGGCCGATCTTCCAGATGAACTCCTCACGGGAGTGGAGCACACACATAGGCTCTATGCTGCCGGGAAGAACCCTGAGTCTGAGGACACCGACCTAGACATAGCTCAGGTGAGGGCTGGTGCAGACAGCAGAGTCTTCACTCTATGCTGTGGAGGCCTGACATCAACCTTTAGGAGAGCTGGTGCTGTGGCTAAAGAGATGAACAGGTGAATGGACGAAGGAGTCAGTGGGTGGGTGGATGAATCACTGTATTCATTAAATGCATGATGGATAGATAATATTTAGGCAGACACTTGGCTGGCTGGATGAATGCATGGCTATTTGGGTGGTGTCTTGGTTACGTTTCCCTCATTGCTGGGACAAAATACCCAACACCCAACATTAAAGAAGGAAAGATTTATTTAGCTCACAGTTGGTGGAGGTTTCAGTCCATACTCAGCTGGCTCCAAGGCAGAGTGGCACATGGCAGAGGGCAACAGTTCATGGTGGTGGGAAACAGCAAAAGCAACAAAAGCAAAAAGGGAGGAGCGGCAGGGAGCAAGCCTCCTTCCCTCCCTTACATTGTATGCAAACTAGCTGCCCCAGGGCAGGTGTAGCACTCACACCCATAATCCCAGCATTGGATTATGAATCAATCATAAACCCTGGAAGCCCGCCCCATGTCTGCATGAGGCTTTGTGGGGACATCCAGACCCAAACCATAACAGATGGACACTTGGGTAGATAGACCATTGGCTCATTAGCTGGGTGAACATGGATAATGTTAGGATGGATGACCGATCGAGTAGATAAGCTAAGATGACAGAGGCATGAGGTATCAGTTATATATTGTTACATAACAAATTACCGAAAACTTATTACCTTAAAACAACTGACATTTATTATGTCACATGATTTCTGAGAATCAGGAACTGGGAAGCAGTTTAGGTGGTATTTTGTTTTGGTTTGGCTTTTGTGGTGCTAGGTGTGGGACCCAGGGCCTTTGTACCTGCTTCCTTCTGTGTATCACTGAGCTGGTTGGCTGGTCTTGCTCAGGATCTCTGGGTTGAAGTTCGCCTGTCAGTTTCCTGGGCTGCAGGACTTGCTTCCAAGCACTTGGTGCTGGCCCGCCTCAGTCCCGCACTGCCATTGGCTACAGGTCTCAGCCCGCCTCAGTCCCGCACTGCCATTGGCTACAGGCCTCAGCCCGCCTCAGTCCCACACTGCCATTGGCTACAGGTCTCAGCCCGCCTCAGTCCCACACTGCCATTGGCTACAGGCCTCAGCCCGCCTCAGTCCCACACTGCCATTGGCTACAGGTCTCAGCCCACCTCAGTCCCGCACTGCCATTGGCTACAGGCCTCAGCTAGCCTCAGCCCTGCACTGCCATTGGCTGCAGGCCTCCCATGGGGCTCTATGCGGGCTGTATGATGGCTCACAACCTGGCAGTACTGGGGCTAGGAGTAGTCCACAGCTAACCCAGAAGGGACAGGCCAGCACCCCGCTGCATCGTGTTGGTCATACAGACCCCAGGGAACTACACAGGAGGGTGAACACCAAAAGGCAGGGATCTCTGGGAACCCCCAATGATTCATGTCGCTCCTTCATGCAAAATATACCTGACCCCTCACAAGGCGCGGCACAGTGTCCAGCTGAGGCACAGCTTAGCGTGAAAGCCTTGGGTTCAATCCCCAGTACTGTAAACCAGTAACACAGTCCCCTATTATCATTACTAGGTATTGTGTATCCATAATTGTCTGCGCTGAACTTTTATGAGTGGGAAGCACAGTGGGTGTGCTTACATAAACACATGAGTAACACACCGCCCTGTGATGTTATGACAGCTACCTCAGTAGGTGGTAAGAACTTCTTGGCTGGGCATGGTGGGGCCTGCCTGTAATCCAAGCACTCGGGAGGCTGAGGCAGGAGGATTACTGTGAGTTTGAGGCCAGCCTGACCTGCAGGGTGGGACCCTGTCTCAAAGACGGAAAAAAAAAAAGAACTTCTCGGCTATGTTATAATCTTGTAGACCACCATCCCATCTGCAGTCCATGGCTAACCGAAATGTCATTTAAATTACAAGCAGTTGTCATTATGTTATAGCAAGAGAGTACAAATCAGAACAGCCAAGGAAGAGAAGCAGCAGGACTGGAAGGGTCCTCAGTGGAAAGTGTTCTTGTCCTTGGGGACATGTTACTCCCCTGGTGATTTGCACACAGTTTGCCAACCCAGAAATGCCCAGGGCTGGGTATGCAGAGCTTTGGCTGAGGTTTCCTTCCCTGCACAGAACTAGGTGAGTTACTGTCTATGTGCTTGAATTCCGTTTCCATACGAAGCCCTTCCTTCCTTCCTTCTTCCTTCCTTCCTTTTTTAGTTGAGGTCATCTAGAGGCATGTGACCTCTCTAGGCTTCCATCCCTTTTAAAAATGCTTTTATTAGTACATGTTTGCAATAGGTAAGGTTTACACGCACTGTAGGCAGCAGGTACATGTACAGTTCTTTTTAACACTCCCCCAGGCCCCCATCTCTAGATCCCCTTCCCATTTGCAAAGGATCTCTCTGTTTCCTACCAGACTGATTTCATGCGGCTCAAAGCCTCAGCCCTTCAATCACATGGTTGGTCATGTGCCTGGCATGGCAGCTGCCACCCCAAGTCACCTCATTAGCATAAACCGTCCTGAGACACCCTAGTGGCACGAGTTACCAAGTGTGGTTCAAGGAGTGGGTGATTAATAGCAAAGGCATTGATGTGGCTTGGGAAATTTCAAGAGTTTCAAGGTTACTTCCAAGGAGCTAGGACAAAGATGAGAGCTCTTTGGGGAAAGTTAATTCATTCTTTTTTTTTTTTTTTCCTTTTTGAGACAGGGTCTCACTATGCAGTTCAGGCTGGCCTTGAGCTCACTTTGTAGCCCAGGATGGTCTTGAACTCACAAAGATCATCCTGCCTCAGCCTCCCAAGTGCTGGGATTACAGGCGTGTGCCACCATGCCCAGCTTCATTCTTTTCTATACAGAGAGGTTGATAATCTCAAAATCTTCAAACCCTAGCTTCTTTGAACATTTCCCATTCATTTCTCTCTGTGTGTGTGTGTGTGTGTGTGCGTGTTACTAGGGATTGAACCTAAAGCCTTTACACTGAACTACATCCCTGGCCTTTCTTCTATTATTTTATTTTGAAACAGGGTCTCAGTACGTCACTAAATTGCACAGACTGAACTTGAACTTGTGATCCTCCTGCCTCAGCTTCCCAGAGTGCTGGGATGAGAGGATGCACCACCATGCCCAGCCCATTGCTTCCTTTAGCTTCTCTGTCCTCTTGCCTTTTACCCTAGGTAGCAAGAGGGAATCAGGCAGTGGCTGGAAACTTCGACACTGTGGTTAGAAATCTCCTCAGCTCAGTCACCTAGTTCATTGGTTCTATTTTCTCCCTTTACATAACTATAGGCAGCAGCGTTGCTAAACTTTCAGCCACTGCACATGGGGAGTGCTCTGGGTCTTGTCCCACCGTGGCATTTCCTCTCAGCCTCCCTGGTCGCCATGTTTCCGATTCTCATTAATCCTTTGTGCAGGCGATTTAGGATTTCTTTGACACCAATGCAGAGTCCTTCCAACCCTGCCCAGTTCTAGTCACCCCTATATGTTTTAGCAGCTTGCTACTCTCAGTGGCAAAATCATATTTATTTCTAGATAATCAGTTATCCCAAAATTTAGCAGGTTAAAATAGTAAGGGTTTTTGTTGGGTTTTTGTTTGTTTGTTTGTCTTTTTAAAACAGGGTTTCACTGTGCAGTTCAGGCTGGCTTTGAGCTCACTTTGTAGCCCAGGCTGGTCTCAAACATGCAACGATCCTCCTGCCTCAGCCTCCCAAGTGCTGGGATTACAGGCGTGTGCTACCACACCCGGCTAGTAAGCGTTTGTAAGACCTCATGTAACTCCTGAGGGTCAGGGGTCCAAGAGCAATTTAGGTGACCAGTGCGAGTCACAGAATGAGTGAGTGCAGAGTTTCCGTGGGGTCACAGCCACCAAAAGGCTCGGGTAGGACTAGAGGACTCACTCCCAAGGTCACTCGTTAGGCTGTTGGCAAAAGGCCTCAGTTCCCTGTGGTCCTCTCCACAGACGTGCTTGTCAGAGGACTTCCCCCAACCCCGGCAGTGGGAGGTGCTGGGACTGGCATGTTTTATAGCCAGCGGAGCTGGGACCCCCTCCCAGACCACCCATTGCCAAGGCCCCGGCTCCTATCCCAAATCTCTCCCACCCGCCCTCCGCAGGACACCGACGCTCTGGATTTGGAGATGCTGGCCCCCTACATCTCCATGGATGATGATTTCCAGCTCAGCTCCAGCGAGCAGCTGCCCAGGGCCTACCACAGACCTCCAGGGACTGTGCCCCGGCCCCGTGCTCAGAGCTTCCACGGCCTGTCGCCCCCGACCCCTGAGCCCACCCTGCTGCCCCGATGGGGGAGTGACCCTCGACTGAGCTGCTCCAGCCCTTCCAGAGGGGACTCCTCAGCATCCTCCCCCACTGCTGGGGCTCGGAAGAGGTGAGTGACAGTAGAGGGGGATGTTCATGGGGCGTAGAGAACTCCCTAGCACAGGCCTGGTTTGTCCCCACCTCTGTGCCTTTCGAAGCCCCCTCTACTGCTCTGGTTGTCCATCCAAACCCCACCGCAGCCAGGGATCAACCGGAGGGACACGCTGATGTCTGACTTAGGGGCAGTTTTTGTCATAATGAAGAAGACACGGCTAGGCACGGTGACACATGCTTGTAATCCTCGCTACTCGGGAGACTGAGGCAGGAGCATCACAAATTTGAGGCCAGCCTGGGCAACTTAACTCGACTTAACTCTCTTGTCTCTTGTCTCAAAAGGAAACTGAAAAAGAGGGGGCTGGGCGTATAGCTCAGTTGTAGAGTGCTGTTCTGTGTTCAGCCCCCAGGACCACAATAATAGTAGTGGTAATGGTAACGATAATAAAACAAAAAGGGCTGGGGTACAGCTCAGCGGTAGAGCACTTGCCTAGCACATGTGAGGCCCCAGCTCTGGAAAAAAGACATCGCCACAGTGTCTGAGAAAGTAGCACTAAGTTTCCTAACACCATTGAGAACCTGTTGAAAGCTGTGGACTCTTTCTAAAGGGTACACATGCGTGCATGCACACATGCACGCACACACACACACACACACACATTTTGCATATAATTTTGGAACATCCAGTGTCCCCCCTTAAAAAGACTGGAACTTTTGCTCTCCGAAGTGCAGCCATGTGCCTGTTTAGTCTCCAGGAGCGGTCACCTTTCTGTCCTTTGGAGGCTGTTAAGGATGCAGCTCAGTATCTCCCAAGGCTCCTGGCTTGGGGATGGTTATACACTGGGTCCCTAAAAAACATAATAATAAATGCACGAGGGGGCTGGGGATTTAGCTCAGTGGCACAGCGCCTGCCTGGCAAGTGCAAGGTCGTGAGTTCGACTCCCGGTACCAGAAAAACAAAACAAAACAAACAAAAGTCTGGACATAAATACACGAGGGCAGGAAATGATATGAAGAACATGATGGGTAGGCAGACAGAGGGACAGGTGGGTGGGTGGAGGTGTGGATGGTGAGTCGGGGGAAGGATAGGTGGATGGGTCATCAGATGGATGGGTAGGAAGATGGAGTAGTCACTGGGTGGGGGCATGAGTGAATGAATGAATGAGTGGAAAGGTGAGTGACTACGTGGCTGGGTGGGTATGGTGGGAGTGAAGGGACAGAGGGATAGGTAGATGAATGAAAGGAGAGATGGATGGGAGGTTGACTGGATGGGTAGGTAATGGATCAGCAGGTAGATGAATGAGATCCAGATTGGTGGATAGAGCGATGGGTTAGTGGGTGGGTGGGTGGATGGACAGATGGATGGACGAATGGGGTGGTGGGCGCACTCCTGAAGGAGTTAGCAGGCGCTTGGGAGCATGCACGGGTGCTCATCGCTGCTGCCCCTGCTGCCCACACCTGCCCAGTGTTCTGTGTTGTGCCTGAGAGTCCTGCCTGTCATTCTCCAGGGCCCTGGCCCACAGCTCGGAGGACGAGGGCGTTGAGCTGCTGGGCGCGAGACCCCCCAAACGGTCCCCGAGCCTAGACCCTGACAACTTCCTGCTGCCTCCTGTCAGCCTGGTACGTCTGGGGATTGGAGGGATGTTCCGGCCCTCAGAACCGAGCGGGCTTAAACTTCTCGTTCTATAGATGGGGAAGCCAGAGAGGGCCGGGGCTGGCTGAAGGTCATACGGAAGATTAACGGTCCAGCTGGAGTCAGGACCTTGATCTTCTAGTTCTGCTAATGGGTATGAAAAGGCTTTGCCAGTATGTGATAAATGCCAAGAAGAGACATCAAAGAAGGTAAAGGGAGCAATGCAGGTGGCGGGTGTCAGTAGGAATCGTCCCTGTCCACGTGGGACCCCTCCCAGGGGACCCTCTCCAAAACAGGCTTGGTCTGGGACCTGTAGTATAGAATCAAGAGTTTTAACCATGAGAAGCAGGCTGACGTGGGTTCGAGTCCCAGGCCTGCCACTCAGTTACTGAGAACTTAGGCAGCTAGTGTCAACTCTCTTGAGCCTTAGTTGCTGAATCGGGAAAATGGGGATAGTCATCATCGCAGAGGGCTGCCATGAGGGTTCAATGAAATCAGGCCCATAGCTGATACTCAGTGGGATATCATTTAATGGTACACAGTTGCCTAGCACGCACTAGCCCCGGTACCTTAAAAAAGAAAAAGAATGTAGCATCCTCTAGTCTCCTTGCCTCTTCTTATCCCTACTGTTCATTCTGCACAACAGCAAACAGAATGCATTCTTTTTGTTTTTTTGTACTGGGAATCAAACTCAGGGCCTCGCCCTTGCCAGGCAGGCGCTGTGCTACTAAGCTATATCCCCAGTCCAGAATGCACTTTCTAAAAGCCAACCTGGACTGTATCATTCCACAAATCCCCATGAACCCTCCCTCTAGGACCTCCCATGTCTCCCTAGTGCCCACAGAAGTGTTTCCTGGCTTTTGAGTCTAAAGAATGCTGTTTGAACATGAGGGGTGTGGTTGGTAATACCGATTGCTTACATTTATTAAGTGCCTACTGTGTGCCAGATGCAGATTTCACGAAGTGCTTTGCATGATTAATACATGTAATCCTCATAACCACTCTTGAAATGCTATTGCACACCACACACAAGAGGTTAAGTCGCTTTACCAGGCAGTCTAGACAGGAAGCAGAACATTCAGGCGGGGTGTTGAGAACTGAACAGCAGCACAGCTGACAAGGCTGCGGGCAGGGTTCCGAGACAGCCACACGGCTGGTGGTGCGCTGGGGCCAGCACTGCGGGAACCAGCACCAGCCCCGGCCTGCGGGCGTGACCGGGGTGACCCTGGGTCCGGGGGAGAGGCTGAAGTGTTCCATGCAGGGACAGGGCAGCCCAGTCACCCAGCAGGGAAGCAGCTAGGAGGAAGGATGTCCCCAGCCCCACCCCACCTCTGCTGTCCCCATCAGCTGCACCAGCAGAGCCCACGGCCAGGCTGCGTGGTGCCGTGGTCCATGCACACAGTCAGCCTCCTGGGGCACAGAAGAAGTGGAAGAAGGGAGAGGGCGAGACTCGAGGGTCACACAGAGGACACACTGGGGCAGTGACTTGCTCACAAGTGGCCACCGTGCTCCAGCAGTGCCCTGCACTGACCACTGCACCATCCTGCCTCCTTGGATACTGGCAGTGATGATGATGATGGCGGATCTGTCTCTCTCCCCCAGAGTTTCCTCCTGATGGGAGGCCAAACCCCAGGGATTCCGCAGGACCCCCACAGCCACCTGGACATGAATGAGCCTTTGGGTGAGTCGCAACTGAGATACGCAGCGACTCCGGGCCCCTGTCCTCGAGAGGGGTGCTGGGTGGAGGGGACGGGGGACGGCGCCATGCTGGGCTGTTGGGGCTGGGCCACAGCACGGGGGTGACCTTGGTGGAGCCAGGCAGCCCCTCCCTCCTCTCCTGGGCTCTGGCGCAGGGAGGGACCCTGAGGGCGCAGAGATTACTTAGGCTGCCCCTTGGGGTGGGAGCCAAGCGCAAGTCTCTCGGAGCCCGAGTGAGCTGTGAACGTTCAGCTGCGGGGTTCTGTTTCCCGCTCTGTCGGTTGGGGCCCATCGCGTTAGTTAGCTGAGCTGGCCCGGCAGCTTCTTCCCGGAGGATGAGACAAGCTGTGGCGCTGGCGTTACGATGATCATTTCCAGCGCAACTACCAAACTACCTGGCGCTCCACTTGAAACCTCCGGCATCAGCCAGAGGGAGCTTTCCAAAGCACGAATCTGCCCTCGCCCTCCTCTGCTCAAAACTCTTTCATGGCTCCCTAGTGCCCTTCAGAGAAAGATCAGGTTCCTCACCTTGGACTCAATCAAGCCCCTGTGGGCTCTGGCTGCTGCTTCATCTCAGATCACACACACAGAGTCACTCAGTCTTTTGGTTTACTCCTTTCTTCATACATATAGATGTTTATGGAATGCATAGTTGGTGCTAGGCATTGTCCTGGGTGCTAGAGCTTCACAGAACAAGACATAGAAATCCCTGCCCTTGTGGAGCTGGCATTCCAGGAAGGGAAACAAAGACCATGGCAGAGAAACAAGCACAATAAAGGGTCCAAGAGAGCTGGATGTGGTGGTACACACCTGTAATCCCAACTGCTTGGGAGGCTGAGGCAGGAGGGTTGCAGTTTGAGGCCAGTCTGGGTAACTTACCAAGATCAAAATAAAATACAAAGGATTGGACTGTACACAATTCAGCAGTAGAATGTTTGCCTAGCATGTGTGAGACCCAGGGTTCCATCCCCAGTAGTTTTACAAAAACAAACAAAAAAAAAAAAAAAAAAAAAAAAAAAAAAAAAAAGAAGAGCTGAAAATAAGTGGGGAAGGGGCCAGGGATATAGCTCAGTGGCACAGCACCTGCCTGGCAAGCACAAACTCCTGAGTTCGATTGGGGAAGATAATGCATGCCAGGGAAGAGTTCTGGAGTGGGGGTGGGAGGGTTTCCATTTTAAGCAGTTGGATCAGGGCTCACCTCATTGAAAAGGTGACAGGCAAAGACAAAAGGAGTCACCCTTGATGAATTCTGGGGCAGAGGGAACAGCAGGTACCAAGGTGCCCAGGTGGGCATGGTGTTCCAGGCAGAGGGAACAGCAGGTACCAAGGTGCCCAGATGGGGCTGTGTCCGTCTGGTTTAGGAAAAGCAAAAAGGGAAAAGGTGAGGGGCAGATGGCACAGGACCCCTGCAGAGCATCGTGTTGGCTTGAAGTTGCCTTACTTGAGGAGGTTGCCACAGGGCCTTTGCATATCCTGATCCCTCTGCCTAGAATGCTTTCCCCTCTGTTCTTTGCCTAGATCCACTATTACTCCTCCCTTAGGGCCCTCTGTTCCTTCCTAAGCTCACAGTCCATCATTACCCAGGCGTGTGCATCCTTATTTGACCACAGACTGTCTTCTCCCTGTGGCTCGGAGCCCCATGAGGGCAGGGCTGTCTTGGCTGCTGCTGCACTGTCTGTGCGCATGCCACCTGGGCAGCGGCCGGGCACAGCTGTGAATGAAGAGCTAGTGTTGACTGAGCACTTGCTCTGTGCCAAGTTGCAAGCTCAGTCTTGTCTGGACGTGACTTCAGCAGCCATCTGCTCTGGAATGTCAGCCCAGGGGCAGGGAGTTTCATCCCTCCGGAAAGCACACTGCCTGGTCCCCAGGAGGCGCTCAGTGAGTGCGGGTGGAGCAACTTCTCAAGAAAGGCACCAGCTCGCTTACTAATGTACACTGGCACTCGTTATGTTCCGAGCTCGTCCCCTAGGAGGGAGGACTGTTATTAGCCCATTTTACAGGTAAGGGGACTGAGGCCCAAAGAGGTGAAGTCCCCTGCCCCAGGTTGCACAGCAAGTGCCATAGCAATGCCTAGATTCAAAGTGGGTGCTGGGGGTAGAACCCGGAGCTTCACACGTGCTAAGCTAATGCTCTACCACTGAGCTGCACCCCTAGCCCCTGAATGCAGGTTCTTAACCATGGCTGTACTTGCTCAAGATTTTGCCGCCATGGAACTCAGGCAGGCCTGCCTCCCTCCCTGCTTTTTAGCTCTAGGAGGGGGAGAAGGGATGGGCGGTCGTCCTCTGGGATTTACCTTGCATCTCTCCCCGAAGGCCTGGGCCCCTCGCTGCTCTCTCTCTACCCAGACGAGGATGCCGTCCAGCCCAGGAGCCACTTCCTGCCGCCCACAGGCTTGGCCCAGGCCCACTGAGCTCGCGCCTCTCCTGCCTCCCTCCTCACACCCACAGAGGACCTCAGCCGCGGCGCATGGAGTAGGCCTCGCCAGGGTGCCCCGCCAGCCTCAGGCCTACCTCAGTGCCCTCTCTGCCCACATCTATTCGGGGGCTCTTTGGGGTGGCCTCAGCTCAGTGACCTCTGGGAGGGGGTCTCCGGCCCCCTCCTCCTGCTCTCAGGACTTCTTTGGGGTTCTCCATACATGGTTACCTCACTCTCCCTTTCTCCGACTCTCTCGGCTTTATTTTGGGGAGCTGGGGTTGGGAGGGCTGGGGTCACAGCTGTGGTTCTGGGCTCTGGAGAGGATGGATAACCATAATCACATTTCTGTGTCCCTCTTCTATTATTGTTTTTGTGTGTATGGCTTCTAATCACCATGAATTGCTGAGGGTCCATCAGACTGTGGGGCTGTGATCCGCAGGGGTCCCCAGGGGCAGGCTCTGGGCCAGACCTCACACCCCAGCGACTTCTGAGTGCGGGTGTCCCACGCTGCCCCAGCTCTGTCTGCCCTTCCACTCTGGACTTCCTGCTGCCTCCAGCCTCACCTGGAACGACTTCATTCGTGGTCTTCCTATATCCGGGGTAGCCAACTTCCTCCGCCTCCCGACCATAGGACCTGACCTTTCTCGGTTCTAGACTGCACAGCCTCTGGCCTGGCTTGAGCAACCTCTGACCTTTCCTGGCCCTGGACCGCACAGCCTCCAACGTGGCCTGCTGTAGACCTCACATCCTCCAAAACCCTGACTCCACATTGTGCGATCTTCAGCTCTTTCTCATGTTTTCAAACGTTCTGAGCTCCAAAAACTGCTGTGAGCTACACAGCCTCTAACTCCCTCTTGGGCTACGGCCGACGATCACCACCTTCTGTTGGTTCTGGAACTCATTCTGTAACTTCCTCTGGTTGTAGACCCTACAGCTCCACGCTGCCACTCCAGCTTCCTGATCTGCAGTACATTTGGTTCCAAGTCCAGGCCTCTTAATTTCTAAACCACTCTGACTGCAAACCGCACGGTGTCTCAGTGCATCCCTCAACACGCTGCACTCGTCAGAGAAGTAAAATAAGCTTCATATCTAGATCTTGTAATCAGTTCTCCCAGAGCCACACAGCGTGGGCCATTTCTTAGGTTCAGGCCCCCGTGACCTCCCCCGTGGCATAGCTCCAGACTGCACGACCTCTAGACCTTGCACCCTCCAAGATCCTCTGATCCCAGAGCTGATGATCTGCTACTTTTCTGGTTCTACAAATGTTCTGACTCTAGACCTCAGTCTGTAAGTTCTCTCGGTTGTACACCTTGTAATTTCTAAATGCCTGAGTTCCTGACGTTGGCGCCCCAAGTTAGCCTGGGTCTAGAACGCAGCCTTCAGACAGCTTCTGATTACACACTGCCTCATAAATTTGATGGTGCTAAACCTTACAACCCCAACTCTTCTGATTCTAGATCTTACGACTTCAAAGTCTCTCCGGTTTTGCCGTCTTCCTCATATCTATCATTCTATAAATTTCTCTGGTTCTAGGCCACACAGCTTCCAACTGCCTCAGGTTCCAGAATTCTGATTCTAAAATCTAGACTTCATCCTATAGGTTCCTCTGGTACCAAATCCTACGAAGCCTGCACCCCAATTCCATGCCCCACCCTCCTTATTCCATCCTGGGCTCCCCACCCCCACAGAGCTTGTCCCAGTTCTCACCCTCAGCCCTAAGTCTTCCAATTCCAGATCCCCACCCCAGGCCCTGTGCTTATGAACTTCATGCTCAAAGCTCTCCACCTCTTTTCTTTTATTATTTTAAAAATAAAAGGAGGAAAACATTAACACACAGACAACATTTTACAAAATAGCAAAAGAACAGTACAGACAATACAGAGTTACAAAGTGGCAGGAAATTAACAATGCTTGTTGTATTAAGGCTCTCCCTCTCTTATTCCTAAGATCTCTCTGTCCTAGAACCCCTCTGACTCTCCACCCCAGCCCTGCAGACATCCACTTACCTTGACTTTACCCAGTGTCTAGGGGACCTAGGGCTCCCAACCCAAGAGACTTCTCCAGCACTACAGGCACACGCCCAGCCCTACCTGCATACCTTGGGGTGGGGGAGATAGGCCAGGACTTCCGCTCTCTACCACCAGCTGTGTCTTCCTAACCCCCAGCTGCCTTCCACGATGGTGCTACTCTTGGTCTAAAACAGGAAAACCGACACCCCTTCTCAACCCCTTCACCCCCTCTTTGGGAGGCACCGCTCACTCTGCTTTGTCAGGGCGTGGCCTGTCCAGATTGGTGCTATGGGGGGAAGAGTCCGAGTCCCTCTCCTCTGGGGGTGACACGGGCCCTCATGAGGGGGACCTGCTGTGCTAGGGAAGGGGAGGGGACTGGCCCAGCCATGCTGGCTCTGAAACCCATTCATGTCCCCCCAGATCACCATAAAGACCTTGCCTTCGTAGGCACCAGAGCTCAGTGTATTGCCTCATCTGTGGGGCCACTCAGGGTGGGGTGCTCTGCGGGGCTGGGGGTGCATGATGCTGACTGTGTGTGTGAGCATCTGTGTTTCTGTGTGAAGTGCAACGTGTCTGGGGATGTCATCCTGTACACATGTAGGTCTCTGTGACATTCTTCCGTGAACCTGTTCTGGGGAGTTGCAATTCCGCCTACGTGGGTGTTAGCATCTGGGAGAAATGACTGTCGTGTATGTGTGTGTGTGTGTGTGTGTGTGTGTGTGTGTGTGTGTGTCTAGTTACGGGTGGGAGGCATTGTGATTTTCTTGTCTTTGTGATGTGATTCTACGTATGAATGGGACTGTTGGACACGAATTTTAGAACTGGTGTGTGTCGTGCGACGCCACCCTCTGTACCCAAATGAGTTTGTGTGTGCAAGAGATTCACGTGTGGGAAGATGTGTCTGTTCAGTCACGTCTCTGTGTATGTCACCCTCACACCGCTCTCCTGTGTTCCACGTAGGGGTCTTTACAAGGGAAGAAAACCACCCTCAACCTTCCTAATTGCTGGTTCCTCTGCCTTGAATACCCACGCCCCCCCATGTCCTACTCATACTGGAGATTTTGCGTAAGACACTCCCTGTTTGCGCAGCTTTCCCTCCCTGCCTCAGTTAGATGAGGTCCCACGACCCCTTCAACTCCCCTGCCCTGTTACAGCATCAAGCAAACCATTATAACCCCACTTTACAGAGGATAAAACAGGCTCGGAGAGGGTGATCATCGCTTGCCCAAGGTCACAAAGCCTGGGTGTGGGGAGCTGAGTTGGATTTAGGTTCATTAGACAGGGTCCCCCTTCTCTCCAAACTCCCCCCAAAATACAAACAAACAAAAAAACAAACCAAGCAGAAAAAGTTCACTAAGCCAGAAGGTGGGTTCTGGCACACAGTCAATACAATAGGAATTAAGAGCACAAGAGTTAGGTGAGAGGTTCAAATCCTGCCTCTGTCATTTCCTTTCGTCGTGACCTTGTGTAAGTATGTCGAATGCAAATTCAGCGTCTTGGTCTGTAAAATGGACGGGTCACTCGTACCTAGGGTGGCTGGTGGCTGCGGTGGGGTGGGGGAGAGGTGAGCTCCGACTCATGGGATAAGAGGTTTGGGGTGGGACAGACTGTGCTTCCAGGACGGGACTCTGGGCAGAGTTCTAAAAGACTTTGTGCTACAGCTCGGCCTGAGTAGAAGCCCAGGGCTTGGAGAAGCTGGTGGGAAGGGAGGTACAAACTGGGGGGGGAGAGTCTGAAAAAGGTTCCTGAGGCTGGACTGAATTCCGGGTCCCCCAGGTCCTCAGCAGTTTGGATCCTAAGGGCGCTAGGGAGCCCTGGAAAGCTAAAGGGTCCGAGCCAGTCTTACAGAGCTTTAGAAGCCCCCCTCTGGGGGCTGGAGATTTAGGTCAGCGGCACAGCGCCTGCCTGGCAAGCGTAAGGTCGTGAGTTCGATTCCCGGTACCGGAAAAAAAAAGAAGCTTTCCTCTAGCTGCCATAAGAAGGGTAAACTGGAGGAGGCAGGCCGAATGTAAGCAGCACAGGGGGGCTGAAGCTGCAAACCGAGCAACAGAAAACGCACAGGCAAACCGGGGAATCCTTCCGAAGATCCGGCCGGGCCTGGGGAGCTGAATTCTGAGAGCAGAAAGATGATGGCGCAACAAACTCGAGTCCTGCTCGGCACCTGGGGAACCTGGGTGCCTTCAGTGAATAACAGAAACACTAACGTGAAAGGCGGGAAGTTTACTTTGCTCGAGAAACCACCCATTTCTTAGAGGGGTAACTGAGGCCCTGGTCTGGGGTAGGGCTTCGCCCGAGGTCACACGCGAAACTGCGGCGCGGTGGGAGCGCGGGCTCGGCGCCGCCCTGCACAGCAGCCCCACCCGCCAGCGGCGCCTGCAACCCACCCGGTACCAACCTGAGACTGCGGGGTCTTTAAAACCCAAGAAACTTTTGCGGCCTCGGAACATGGTAACTGTGGAAGCAGAAGCCGCGCCGAGCCTTTTTTCCCCGCGCGCCCCCTTCTCTTTCCTTATTGGCTCGTTCTTATAAGAGGCGCTGCCTGGAGACCCTCTGGTCACCTTGTCCTCCCCGCGCGCTATACAGACAAGGGCTTATGCGCAGGCGCGCGAAGGGAGCCTTCGGGGCCCGCGCTTTACGACACTTGTGCGGCAGCGGCGGCGGTCACTCGGCGCTCCTTCGCGACGGTTCGGCCGGGTGCCGCTGGCGGCCGTTGCCAGGGTGGGGGTCGCTTTGCGGCATGGCGATGGCGGAGGGCGAGCGGACTGAGTGTGCTGAGCCCCCCCGGGACGAGCCTCCGGCTGATGGCGCCCTGAAACGGGCAGAAGAGCTCAAGACACAGGCCAACGACTACTTCAAAGGTGCGCCCGGCCCGGACGGGGCGAAGGAGGGTGGACAGCGGCTCAGGCCGAGGGGTGCCGCGCGGAACCATGGCAACGCGGAGCGGCAGCCGGGGCGCGGGGCAGGCAGTACCAAGTGACCGGGCGTGAGGAGGCCCGGGATGGCGCTACCAAGGGTCGACACAGGGGGCTTCTGGGAGGAGGGGTAATGCCTAGAAGTGGCTTACCGAGCGGGAGCTACTAAGTGGGGAGACTGAGGCGGGAGCTACCAAATGTGGAGCGGGAGGGGGACCGGAATGTGAGAGCTATCATGTGAGAAATGTGGTGAGACCTGAAGAGGGCGCTACCTAGGACTGACAGGAGTGATGGTGCTGCCAAGCGGAGAGATCCAGGTTGTTGGGTACCACCGGGTGGGAAAGCAGCCGCACAGGGAAGGGAACTGTGGGGTTAGGGGGTGGCTCATTAGGTTGGGAGGGGCCAAGGAAGTAGGAGACTTGGGCTGACCGGAAGAAAAGGCACATGTAGGGACCTTCGGGAGCAGTGAATGAGACACATGTGGTCCTGCCCTTAGACAACTTGTAATTTAGCAGCAGAGTCACGTTGAGCAAGCATGCAAATAAATAAATTGCTTAAGTTGAAAGAAAACCAACAAAGTGATGAAGTGGAGAATAAAGGTGGGGAACCGTCTTAGAGAAGGTGGTCAGGGAATGTCTTGTGGAGAAGGAGGCATTTAAACGGAAATTCAGAGGAGATTTGGGGAAGAAGTGTTCTAAGTAGGTGGAGTAGCATGTGCAAAGGCCCTGGGGTGAGGAATAAAAACTCAGGAATAAAAGGTCAGTCCTCATGGCCTGAGCTTTAGCAAGTTCAGGGAGGAGACTGACTCAGGGTAAGGTGAGGATGGGGGCCAGATCATGCAGGGTCTCACCTGTCTTACTCACCTGTCCAGAAGAGACATTGAATAGGTCTGGACTGGGGAAAAATTTGGACTTGATCAGGCTGTGGTTGGAATGGATGAAGTCACCTGAGAATAGGGTCTGGAGAAGATCTAGAATGGAACCCTGAGGAATTCTGATATTTAGAATGCAAGAAGGGGATGCTGAGAGTAGTGGTGAGTGAAGTGGAAGGGAAGAAGGGGCCACAAAAGCGGAGAGATACCAGTGCTTCTAGAAGGAAGGAGGCAGGTTCCCTCAGTCAGAAGCTGCCAAAGCGAGCACCAAGCCCTGGCCATTGGATTGGCTCTGTGGCTGTGGTTGGCGGTGTGGATAAGAGCTGTTGCTGGGGAATGACGGGGTGAGAGCTAGGAGGGCACTGTGGGGTAAATTGGAGGTGAGGAAGGCGAGGCCGCAGATGTTGACAGGTGTGAGTGTTTTGGTTCTGAAGGGAAGTGTGCAGAGGGAGGCCGCTTGTTCAGGCATGGTCCGACAGAGAGGCAGAGTTGATTCTGCAGGAGACAGGAGAGACTCACACCTGGAATACTCTGGAGAAGGTGGTTGGAAGGTAGGAAGCTCTAGAACCCCAATGGAAAGTGAGCTCTCAATGGGAGCAGAAACCGATTCAGAGTAGGAGGATGTTTGCTCAGACGGGGTCCATAGAAGGAGGTAGGACAGGTGAGAGAGTCAGCCAGAGGTAGGAGGTCGGGCTGGGGGCTGTGGGTGTCAGTCTGCAGGTGATGGGGAGCCACGCAGTCTGATTAGCTTTGGGAAAAGATCCCCAGCTGCTGGCTGTGTACAGGCTGGCTGCAGAGGCAGGACTGCAGGGGCTGGTCTCGGGAAGGAGGCTAGAACAGAGGACAGGTGAGAGGTGGTAGGGGCTCGGACCGGGCTGGATGGGCGGAAGCTGATGAAATGACAATGGCCACAGTGGTGGCGGGGGGAGGGGGGCTCTCCAGGCAAAAAGAACCTGGCGAAAAGGGCCCAGAGGTGAGCAGAACCTGGCACCTAGAAGAGGGCGGTCTGGAACGGAGGAGACAAGCTGTGTGGGGAGGCCGTGGGCAGCAGAATATTCAGTGCTTCAACTTTCAGCTGAGGGCTTTGGGAAGCCCTGGATGGCACTGAACAGAGATAGGGTCAGGCTTTTGCTTGAGGAAGATTCTGGAGAGGCAGGGCTGGAGCCTGGGGCGGGACCCTGGGAGGGGGGCGACCCGGTCACAGGGATGGAAGTCGGGTCATGGGTGTGAGAGATGCTCAGGAGGCCGATGCGACAGAATGAAGAAGATGCTGGGCTTGGGGTCGAGGGTCAGGAAGAGTCCAAGACAAGGCCAGGTCTCCAGCTAGGTGATAGGGTTCAAGGTGAAGGTGTCCCCTTCCACGGGGCTTGAGAAAAACAGCAAGAATTGGGGCTGCTGCTGAAGCTAGGTGAGAATTCTGGGAAGGAGTAAGTCGTGGGGAGGGGCCTTTGCGTCCCAGGACCAGGGACCGTGTTCTCAGGAGCCGCGTGGGCTGGGCAGGCAGCCAGGGGTGCCTGGCACGGAGCTGGCTTGGAGAACAACCCCCTGGTCCAGCAGGCAGTGGCAGGCACAGAGCCCCAGGCTCAGGGGCTGTGGGAATAATAATAAAAAGAATAATTACAGCTCACTTTAATTGAGCCCCAGTGGTGGCCAGGTACACGCAGGGCTGATCCTCCCCGAGGCACTGGGAAGTAGGTAGGAGCAGTTCTGTTTGTTTTATAGAGGAAGCGGGCTCAGAAAAGCGAAACTGCTCGCCCAAGGTCAGAGCGTAAGCGCCGCCGGATATCCCCTTCCTTGCCACATGCACGCCTCGCAGCTTCACAATCATGGTCTCTGTGGGAAGAAGAGGGGCGAAAAGCAAGTGAGGGAGAGAGAAGACTGGGGGACCCGGGACCCAGTCTGAGTCTGAGTCTACTCTCTTCCCCCTTTGCTGAGCCTCAGTGCCCCTTTCTGCAAAATGGGGGAGGGGTTGTGCTGAATTCCCAAGGGTCTTCCTGGTCTAGAGTGGGTGGAGAAGCTCAGGCCTGGGCATGTGCCTTGACCTCGCTGCCCTGTCTCCACTGTCTCCTCGTGTCTGCAGTGGGGGCTGCCTGGAGGTTACCCTGCTGGTGTCGGGGAAGCACAGGGAGCACTGGAGGAGCGGGGCTGGGCCTCCCCAGTGTGCGGGGATAGTGCGGCCCCTCCCGTTTCCTTCCTCTCTCCCTTCCCTCTTCCCTTTGTTTAGTCATTCATTGTCTGCAGCCACTTACCCTGCGTGCACTCGTGGAACTCTCCCAGCCACCAGTGAGGCAGAGCCCGTTGTGAGTCTGGGATTTCTGATGCGCAAACTGAGGTTTGGAGGGAGAAGCCGTTTGTGTGTTGTCCCATGTTAGGGATCTGCACAGCATCATGGGAGGCGCCTCGCCCTATGCCAGCAGACGGAGGAGCAGCTTCCCCTCAGAGCACTGGCTGGGCTGGGGCACCCCAGAGGGAGCGCCTGACCAGACGGGAGGTCAAGTAGGGCTTCCCGAAGGAGGGACATTTGAGCCACTTGGAAGATGGCCCGAAAGGATTGTCCTGTTGTCCTTGGTCATATCCCTTCTCTAATTTCACTCTCTGTCACTGTCTTTCCCTCCCTGCCTTCCTCCTTTTCTTCCTCCTCTCCCTCCCTCTCATTATCTTTGTCTGACTCATTCCTGTCCTCCAGGTGGAAGCTCCAGCATCCCCGCTGGGCTGCCTGAGCCCTAAACACTCTGGGACAGGATCTCACCATGCAGTTCAGGCAGGCCTTGAAGTCACTGTGTACCCCGGGCTGGCCTGGAATTCACGGTGATTCTCCTGCCTCAGCCTCCCAAGTGCTAAGATCACAGACATGCACCACCACACCCGGCTGCCCTGAATAATCTAGATCATCACTGCTGGGGACAGATCTTTCTTCTCCACTCAGCTGTGAACAGTGGGAGAGCAGGACGGGGGGCCTTTGCCAAAAAGGACAGGAACTCAAGAAAGTAAGACAGATGGGCTTAGTTTGGGTTCTGAGGTGGGAGATAGATTATAGCAGACAAAAAACCAGGACGGTCACAGCTGTTAGGTAAGTGCTCAGGAGAAGACTGAAGTGGGGATTAGGGTGGGAACACCCATTTTAGGCTTCAGGGTGCCACAGGAGAAGACTGGAACTCAGGTCCAGAGACGGTGTGTAAGTTGTCCAAGGGCACACAGCTATTAAGAGGCGGAGCCAAGGATCGGGCCCAGGCCACCCATCCTGTGCCTCTCTGCCTGCCTGTGCCAGGTGTCCACCTGGAGCACACTGAGGGTCGGGGCGCTGAGAGTGAGTGCATTTTGGTCTTGGCCTGGCTTAGAATCCCTGCCTGTTACCTGCTGTGTGACCTCAAGTTCAAATCTTCCTTGCTCAGCTTCAGTCCCCTCATCTGGAGAATGGGCTGAGGCAGCTGCCCTCAGGTTGTTGTGGGGGTTTAGTGACAGACTCAGGTACTAAAATGCTGCATGGCACCTGGCACCTCCTAGCCTCCCAGTTCCGGTAAGCTCTGAGGCTGTCCAGGCCTGGGTTCTCCGTCCTCCTGTGTGGTGTGTGGGAGGAGGCAAGCCTGGCCTTGCAGGTACAGGCTGGGCGTTTGACCTTGAGCAGGACCTCTGTGGCTTGTCTGTCAGGTGCACACCAGATGGCACTTAAGCTGTGCAGACATGAGGATTCCACAGGTCAGGATGTAAAGTGCAGGGCACAGCTGTGGCTCATTTCAAAGTCTGACCTTTTGCCCTTGGGTAGATGTCACACCCTGTCACTCCACATGCAGAACATGAACATCCAGCCCTCGCCATGGATGCCAGGGCCCAGGGAATTTGTCCCATCAGCCTCCCTGCCGCCTTTCCCTGGTCCACGCCAGGCCTTTGTACTTGCTGTGGCTTCTGTGGGGACGCTCCCGCTCCAGTCCAGAGGCCTGTGTAGTTGTTTCCCCTCTCTCCACGTCCTCTCCCACATGGCCTGCTCTCTTTCAGGGGGAGCTGGACAGTCAGAGAGCTCAGGCACACCCAGCTGGCCTGTTTCAGATCCCCGTCCTGGCACTCGCTGAGATTCCCTTCTGGGTGTGGGGAGGGTGGGGAGCCCTCCTGGAGTCCTGGAAGAAATAAATAATGCCCAGCTGGGGCATGGGTGGGCAGAACTGAATGTGCAGTTGATTGTGGCCTGAGGGGACAAGGCTAGAGCTAGGGTGGGGCAGTTGGACCTGGAAGAGCAAATAGACTGGGGACACATTTCTGAGCCCCACTGCAGACCTCAGTTTCCTCATGTGTGAATAAGGACGCTGTGCCGGTTCCTGCCTGGGGCCCGATCTAGTGCTACCTCTTCCTCCACAGCCAAGGACTACGAGAACGCCATCAAGTTCTACAGCCAGGCCATCGAGCTGAACCCCAGCAATGCCATCTACTACGGCAACCGAAGCCTGGCCTACCTGCGCACCGAGTGCTATGGCTACGCACTGGCCGACGCCACTCGAGCCATCGAGATCGACAAGAAGTACATCAAGGGCTATTACCGCCGGGCCGCCAGCAACATGGCACTGGGCAAGTTCCGGGCCGCCCTGCGTGACTACGAGACGGTGAGCCGGGCCTTGGGGAATGGGCCAGCTCCCGGCCCCTGAGCCAGGTGGATGGGGGGCAGAGGAAGAAGGGAGCCCGCATTCCCTCGCCACTCACTCATCGGGCAGATGCCCACAGGCCCCTAGCCTGGAGCAGACTGCCGGGCATCCCACCCTAGCTCGGCCTCCACAAGCTCCCTGACCACAGATGGGTCGCCGCTCCTTGCTGTGCTTTGCTTTCCACGAACCGAGGCGAAGCTAGGACCTCCCTCGAGGGCTGCTGCAGGGAACGAAAGCATTGCTGCTTTTCAGATGCCTAGGGCAGCGCTGGCACGGAGTCAGTCATCTGTAGTACTTACTTTATGGTTATCCCCGCTGCTGTTACTGCCCGTGAGCAGGAGCCCCACGGCCCTTTCGATGGAGCTTAGTTTGGGGGTAGACAAAAACCCCACCCGATGGAACAGGTGAACAAAGTAATTGCGGATGAGGATCTGCCCTTGAAGGGAGTAGCACTGGCTGGCGGGCTCTGAAGGGAGGGCGCATGGGGATGCACTTACTGCCCGTGGCTCTGGGCAAGTCTGGAGCGTGGCAGGATTTGCTGCAGGGTTAGCTACTCGCTTCTTCTTGCCTGCTGCCCGGCTGGAGGCCTGAGCAGTGTGGCGTCCTGACGGCGGTGGGACCTGCCGGTGCACGCGCCTTTGCACGGCGTGGCCTGCGCCCCTGTGCCGACCACTGACTGAATCACTGCGGTGGCTCTGGGAGGGGGGCGGGGAGGGGCCTGAGGCCTGGGACATGAAGTCATTTGTCCAGCACTGAGTGACAGAGCTCCTTGACCATGTCCCCTCCTTTTGAGTGTCAGCTTCCTGAGAACAGGAGCTGTCGGCCGGGGAGCGATTGCTGCTTGCCTGCCCTGCGTAGCGCACCTCCACTCCCTGGCCTCCGCAGTGCTCTGTCCGGTGGCGGGGGACACTGAGGCATCTGGGAAGCCATGTCTGCAGTCGGAGGGAGCCTGGGGTGAAGAACACTGTCAGGTGGGGACAGCGTGTGGAGAGGGGCCGGGGTGACACGCAGGAGGGTGGGGGAAGCGGCAGCACTGCAGAGTCCCTGTGAGCTTGGGGGCTGAGCCGTTCCTTGGCCGTGCTGCTCCCTTGTCCGGATCTCGAAAGTGGAGTCAGAGGAGCGGCCACGTCCTGCCCAGCCGCAGGGCGCCGATGAGGTGGTGTGAGTAAAGGTCACCGGGGCCGGAGGGCTCGGTAATGAGTAACCCAGAGGGCAGTGGGGCCGGGCTCCAGAAAGAGGCGCCGGAGGAGACGGGTGGGGGCAGAAGTTGAGAGGAGCCCAGGATAGGGGACGGGGGATCCTTGCCACCCCATGAGTAAGGAGTGGGTCCCTCCCTGCAAGCTCCGGGAGGCCACAGGAGTGAGTTCTAGCCAGCTGTGCACACCCCACATCCGAGCATGGCCAGGCCTCGTGGATGCCCTGGAGGGCTGTGCAGAGCTGACTTGAAGCAGGGCCACACCCAGCACCCACAGTCAGCACCGGGGAACCCACACGGGCCTGAGATCCTTACCCTCCCGGCCGGCTGCCACCGGCAGGCCATGCGCATGCCCGCAGGCTGTCAGCCTGCTTCGCCCACACTTGTTGGGCTCAGGGTTGAGCCCAGAGTCTCTGCCTCCTGCTCTCCAGGGCGTCTTGCACCAGAGGCTGGAGTGTCACCGAGAACAAGCCTGGGCCCAGGCCCTTGGATCAGGAGCTGGCCTGGAGGCAGAGCAAGGTCCGACCTTGAGTGAAGGAGCCTGAGGCTCTGCCCCTCAGAAGCCTGGGCCCTCGGGTGACCCTTCCTCTTGTGCCCACGGTGGGCGCAGGACTGCCGCAAGCACCGGGCAGAAATGAATCCCATGCGCCGTGTGGGAAAGATGCCGAGGCCTAGAGAGGGCGTCCCGTCCCCTCCGGGGCCACCTAGCAGGGAGGTGGCAGAGCTGAGAATCACCCAGAGTGGTAAAGGTGTTAGTGAGCTACAAAGTCAGTTGAACGGCTGATGCATGGAGAAGAAGAAATGGTTCATGGGAGGAAGTGTGTATATTGTTTTGTGAAAAATGTTTTTTACTTTCATGAGTAGAGATGTATCAAGTGTGATGGAAAGTCACACCTGTTTCTTACTGTGAGTCACAGTCAGGACACCAGCTGCATGGCCGGCTCGGCTCAGATAGCAGCTGTGTGGCCCTGAGGGCTGTGGCTCTTGGGCCTCAATGTCCTCATCCGCAAAGCGGGGAGGTTGCTAGTGCCCTCTGCGCAGAGTGAGTGAGAGTGGTGCCTTTAGCAAAGGCGTAACTGTCCTCCCGGTGTCTGCAAGCCTCGTGGGGGTCACCCTGCAGGACGGGCTGCCCACAGCCACCGGGACATGGTTAGGGCAGGGGTGCCGGGTGTGTCTCTTTTCTGCTCCCCCTTCAGGCCCAACCCTTGGCCCTCAGAGGTACATCTCCCTTTCCTGTGGGCTGTGTCAGCCCCGTACACACACCCATCCTTCCGGATGCTCCTCTTGGGTGAGCCTGCCTCTGCTTGGGTCCCTGTGTCCGAAACACCCCTGTGCCTGTCCCGTCCGTGCTTGGTGGTCTCGCAGGTCCGCCCAGGCCTGGGGTGCTCTTCTCGCCTGCGCGCCCCACCCTGCCCATGGTCTCTGGCTTTGGTTTTGGTTTCTGAGAGTAGCGCCCAGCCTGTTCTTTAGAACTGCACTTCACCCTGCAAGCCCATATAAGCTCCCGGACTCTGGGACAGGAACGGGCTGGTCGGAGCTAGTGCTTCCCACAGCACTGCCCGGGGCCAGGCTTGGTGACAGCCTTCCTGCCGCAGTAGCTCATTTCATCAGCACAGCAGCCCTGCACGGTGGGCTCCTTACCCTTTTACCTACAGACAAGGAAACCAAGGCCTGGAGGAGGCAGGTCACTCTCCTGAAGCTCACAGGAATCCCAGCAGGTGGTGGCCTTGTCCCAGGGCGTATGGTGGGAAGTTACTGGGATGGGCTGCTGAGACCTGAGGAGGGAGCGGGAAAGCACTGGGAGGGGAAAGCAGGGGGCTGGGCCGGGGGCAGCCTGGCAAGGGCTTGGAGGTAGCACATCTGGGGCTGAGTGCTCAGCCTGGTAGTGCCAGGCAAACGGAGTGGGGGTTGGTGGGGCCTCAGGTGCCAGGCCGGGCCGTGCTGTGGACTTCGTCCTGGGGCGTGGACGCACAGTCCCTCCTGTGGGAAGGAGCCCAGGGGATACCGCGTGCTGTCAGGCTCCCTGGCCTGGCGCCCTACCCTCACCCCATGTGGAGCCACCTGGTGGACGCCCTACCCTGCATCTGCCCAGACAGGGAAGAGGCTGTCGCCCACCTGCCACCACGAGCTTTTTTTAATTAATTAATTAATTTATTTATTTATTTATTTATTTTGGTTTTTCTCCGGTACCGGGAACCAAACTCACGGCCTTGCGCATGCCACGAGCTTTTTCTCATACACTGGGTCCGCACACCTGCCTCGGGGTACATGGGCTTCGCCACCCTGCCGTTGGCCCTGCTGATGTAGGCAGTGTCTTTCTTTGCTCAGTGTCTGGCTTATCTGCCAGGCCTTCCTCCGGGGCAGCCCCTACCCCTTGAGGGCCAGCCTGGCACTTACGCCTGTCCCTTGGCACAGGAGCTTAGGGGGCTTCCTTCTGGTGAGGCCATGCAGGTGGGCAGTCCAGGATGGTCCAGGGTCACGGATAGCTGTGGTGAGGCTCAGGGAGGTGAGTTCTCTTGCCTGAAGTCCCGGCAAGTAAGCGGCAAGGCCAGAATTTGAATCTTGTGCTACCTACTTTTGAGCTCTGAGGATCAAGGTTTGTAGGAAACAGGATGGAAGGCAGAGAGACAGGAGAAGGCAGGCTCCTCTTGCTGGAAACTTGCCATATCTCAAAGCCGTGTGCCCTGTGCTGCTTGTATGTGGTTTCATTTAATCAGCAAGACCGCAGGTGACAGGGCTGGGAGCGGTCGGGGCCAACAGGCGCACGCCCCTCCTGGCGCCGTGGGCGGCCTTCACGTGTGCTCCTGTGTTGCGTTCTCACAGTGCACTCTGAGGCGGTGCTGTGCAGGCTGCACTTTACGGAACCGACCCGCCTGCCCGGGGCTTCTCTTCCTAGAGGAAACAGAATGCCAGGTAGCCAAGTGAGCTGCTGCGGGCCAGCCCCCGGGTCCTTCCTCCCAGCACCCTGGCGGGGGCTCAGACTCAGACTTCAGCTGCAGCAAGCTGACCTGCCCTCGAATCCAGGCTGCCCTTCTGCCTGGAGGCCAGACCACCTGCCCCCAGCTCCCACCCTGCGCTGATAGGTGGGACGCTTCACGCTGTGCCTGGTCCCCCCGGGACCCTGAAGCTGAACACACGGTCCTCAGACAGGGCCGTTTTTGCCCACTGATGGCCACCGCTCAGGTTTCTCATGGCTCCTGCATGAGCTCCTGTGTCTGTCCCTTGTGGCAGCTCTGATCCATTTTGGGTTGCAGAACCCAAAGCTCAGAGGTGAAACGCACCAGCGTTGCCCCCTTACGGCACGATGGCCCTGGGTGGTGACTTCAGTGTCTTCGGAGCCCCGGGCCGCTGAGCCTGCGCGTCCCCCACCAGGCGGCCTCCCCCCACCCCCCGTGGTGAGTGCTGACGCCTCTCCCTCTCCCCACTTCCACCCTCCCCCAGGTGGTGAAGGTGAAGCCCCATGACAAAGATGCCAAAATGAAGTATCAGGAATGCAACAAAATCGTGAAGCAGAAGGCCTTCGAGCGGGCCATCGCAGGCGATGAGCACAAGCGCTCCGTCGTAGACTCTCTGGACATCGAGAGCATGAGTGAGTCGGGCCCGGGTGCCCACCCTTCCATCCAGGGAGCTGCATGCCCTGCACTCACCGTGGGCTCAGCAGGTGTCGGGAGCGTGAACTGAACCGTCTCGCTGGCCTGTCCCACAGCTGTTAGCTGATTAACTTTGCAGTCTTGTCTCCCTCCCATCCTCCAGCCTTATAATTAAATTAAGGGCACCCTGGAATCTTTCTTTTATCATAGTCCAGCAAGTGCCTCCCCACAATCCATTCCTGTTCGGATAGGGAAAGGTGGCCTGGGTGCAGGGCTCACGGCTGTATTCACTACCACGAAATACCACAGTATCCACTGTTTTGCTTTTTTTTTTTGGTACTGGGAATTGAACTCAGGACCTTGTGCTGCTGAGCTATATCCCTGGCCCACCCCTCATATCCACTGTTAACTTTGCCGGCTGAGTTAAAGCCCAGCTCACCTGCATCAGGCCCTAGGGAATTCCAGCAGCAGGTGTAAACGCCCCGGTACATGTTTTGCCTCAGAATCGTCATCGTGGCTCCTGGCACTTGCAGTTGCTGCCCTGATCCTGTGACCAGTGCTGGGGTGGAGGGGCGTTGGGGGAAGAGAAAATAATAAGGAGGCAGTGTAATCGTTCTACTAGTGTGCCCCTCTCCCAGCCAGAATCCCATGGCCGCACCAGCATGCACTAGGAGGACGGGGAGTATCTAGCAGGGGCTCCTCTTTGGCCCTTCATGACCTGCTTCCCTTTATCTGTTTTCATTTTGGACAGCCAGCCTTTCCCTTTCCAGTGACATCTCTGTGATAAACTGTGACTGTGACTCTCTGCCAGTTGTTGGCCGTGATGGGTCATGTGCTGTGCTCCTTGGTGTGGGAGGTGACGGCTGGCTGTCCACATCTGCACTGTCTTCCATTTTAGTTTTTCTAGAGCACTCTGGGCCTTTGCAATTCTACCAGGCAAGTAAGGCTGGTTCATGGATCATCTGTTCATGGATCATCAGTCCTGTCCAGTCCTATTTGTAGTCCAGGGCCTTTGCTGGGGAGTCTGTGGCTGTTGCAGTCCCTGACCATGTTAACTTTGCCAGGTGAGTTAAAGCCCAGCTCACCTGCATCTGGCCCCTGGGAATTCCAACAGTAGGCTTAAACGCCCAGGTGCATGTGTTACATTCTGTGCCCAAGGGGCAGAAGGAGCACGCCGAGGCTCGCCCATCTGTGCGTTGCTGCCTCCGCTGCTCCCTGTGCCACTCACTCATGGATCTAGGTGGCCACCTGAGGTGAGCCCATAAGGATGTGCTCATGTTCTTCAGAACCTCTGAAGGAGTTTTGATGGCATCAGCACGCCCTCCTGTAGTGCATCCCTAAAACTTCCAAGGGCTCCATACGGGTAACCCTCAGACAGGCCTGGCTTCCATTGCCCTCCTGCCCAATCGTGTGGCCTCCCTCTGACAATGCCCAGGAGTCAGTAAAAGCCTAAACACAAGCCAGGCTTGGTGGCGCATATGCCTGTAATCCTAGCATTCGGGAGGCAGAAGCAGGAGGATGGCCATGAATTCGAGGCCAGCCTCGGCTACATAGTGAGACCCTATCTAAAAAAACAAAACAAACAGAAAAATACCCGAACACAAGACCTCTGTGCAGTTCGGCCTGCCGGCCTGGTTTACGTTTTTGGATCAGAGCAGCAGCCTCCCAAGCAGGGTGTTTCTGTTTGCTGTGGAAATACACAGTGTGGGCTTTTGGGTCTGCTGAGAGCTGTTCTGAGGCACTGTCCAAGTGTCGCGAGAGCCCAGCAGGCGGCCCGCGCAGACCAGCGCCATTCCACTGTGGAACTGCGTGGCGCTGCGTCCCCACCAGTGCCTCACCCAAGACGTCCCGGTTTTCTCAGGTTTCAAGATCATTTTGTGCCCCTCACTCATAGGGAAAGCTTCAGCCACCGCCCTGTAGCAAGGTGACAAGTGTCCCCAAGTGGAAATGCTCTGGCCCGCAGGCCCTCAAGTGCCAGCTGAGGCTCCGACTGGGGCTGTTGCACAGAAATGCGCCCCTGCCGTGTCCATCCTCCTCCACACTGTGGGCTCCAGTGTGTGAGGTTTCCACGTTCGCACCATGTCCAGTTAGTACTGCCGGAGGGGTGGACGTCCACGCCTTCTGTTTCCGTGCTAGGGAGGGGAGACCTTTCCCGGTGAGATGCAGTGTCCCTCCCATCGTAAGGCCTGGCAAAAGAGGCGCAGTCACTTCACAGGAAGCGGCTTCAGATATACCAACTTGGGCTGGGCGCTCACTCAGCGGTAGAGCACTTGCCTAGTGTGCACAAGCTCCCAGGTTAAAAAAAAATGTAAGTACACATATATGTAGCATACCATCTCACCTCTGAACTACTTCTGTTAGCCCTCACTTTCCCAGCTGTAGCCGCCACTGGGGCCTAATCAAAAGGCTTGGGCTTTACAGTACGAGGTAGGGAATGACTTGCTAGGCAGACACACTGTCCAGTCCCGCAGAGCATTGCAGGGGTGAAGGCACTTTGCCCTCCCGCTCTGAAGTTCAGGTCTGCTGAGATGAGCTGACAGCAGACAGATGAACAGAAAAAAGCTGTGTTAGTCCCAGGCACACAGGAGCCTTGCGGAAGAATCTGATAGTCCACGAGGGGCTAAATGGTTGATTTTTTTTTTTTTTTTTAACAGTGTAAAGGAAAGGAGAGCTTGGGGGAGATGAGACAAGGTATGGAAAGGACAGACAAGGGACTTGGTGGCAGGCGGGAGGTGTGAGGGTGCAGAGGCTCAGAATAAAGTCTGTCAGCACAGCCTCCGGGAGGGCAGGAGTGGTCCGTGAGAGGCGAGGACTTCCAGCTCCTCGGGGTGATGAGCCTTCCCCGCCTGGTGCGTGCAGTTCCTGCGAGCAGGGTCAGTTCGGTACGCTCACCCATCGGCGCGCCGCACCTTGGGGAATCATTTTCTGAACCCCAACAACATTTCTTTACCTGAAGCCGCTCCAGCGCCCCAGCTCTCACGGCCCCATCCACCCTCACGTTTCCCTTCTCTCAGTCTAACTGTAGCCCCCGTCAGGCTTCCCCGGTGCGTCTGGGTACCACAGTGCGTGGGGCTCCACACCGAGGAGTCCCAGGAATTTCTCCCTGCCATGCCGGACCGCTGCACACGTGTGTGCAGTGAGGCTGTGTCCCCACCCGGGGCTGAGCGAAAGGACCCTCGTCCCTTTTCCTGTCCTCATCTATATCGCTGTCTGTCGCCCTGGGCAGTTGCAGCCTCCCCAGACGGGGTGAGGCAGGCCCAGCTGGTGCTGCAGTGCGGGGAGAGCCCTTCAGCCACGTCCTTCGCCTTGTTTTAAGCCTGTCAGTGTCCCCCTTGTTCATTCTGTTTCTTAGTAACCAGGAAGAAGATTTGCAACTTTCCCTTCGCCCTCTTACTTTCACCCCCATCCAGATTTTACTCACTTACTCTTAATGACCTCTTGAAAATTTCCACCTTCTGTCAGGCGTGGTGGTGCACACCTGTAATCCCAGCACTCTGGAGGCTGGGGCAGGAGCCTGGGCTACAAAGTGAGCTCGAGGCCAGCCTGACCTGCATCGTGAAACCCTGTCTCAAAAAAGACAAAGAAAAAAAATTCCACCTTCCTAGGAGTTTGGTTAATTTGCCAGATGGCTTGCAGAGCTCAGGGAAAACGTTCCCCAGTTTATGAAGGACAGTGTTACAGAGGACACAGAGGTTCGAGGGAAGGAGTCCAGGTTCGGGAGTGTCCGCCTGGCCACAGTCGGGGAGCTGGCTGAGCCCTGCCCTCTGGGTTTCTGTGGAGGTCCCAGTACCTGGGCAGCAAAGAGCACATCGTTGGCTGTTGTATCACCAGATACAACAGGTATGTCCCCTAAAAGCCAATGCTCCAGATTTGTGGGGAGGGAAATTGGGTGCATTTAATGGCTCACACCCTGAGGTGATGGGGGGTGCTGTCATCCCTCCAAGAAGAGTTTTTTACCTCATGTGAAACTCAGCTGTGCAAGGGGCTCATACACGGGGAGAGAGGGGGGCAGGGGGCAGGGGCCACAGGCTGGGTCACGTCTTGGAGGAGTGTCTTTTCCTTTTTTCTGGCCACAGCATCACGAATGCCTTTGACCTCCTGCGGCTAGCTCCTGTAATGCTGTAGACTTTTTCTGCAGCGTGGCTTTTGCATGCTTTGTATTTGTTGATGTGCTGCCCTAAAGAGTAAGGAAGGAGGAAGGATGCTATGTAGTTGCTACTGTTTCGTTTTGGAAACAGTGTCTCATTATGTTGCCCAGGCTGGCCTGAAACTTGCAGTCTCCTGACTGGGCCTCCCAAGTAGCTGGTGCACCCCACCAAGCCCAGCCTCACATTCCGATGTTATTCGAGGGGCACCAAGTGTAGGCTATAAATCTGAGGAAAGATTATTGATCAGTTAGCATCTTAATCATTTGGGTGGTGCTTTTAGAGTTTAAAATGTTGGGGGTGGCTCTGAAAAAGGCAGCTTCCACAGGAGCAGCCACCATTAGAACTGGCCATCAGGATGCTCACTTAGGCAGTTTAGGTTTGGGGGATTAGCATACGAATAGCCCTAAAACTCAAAAAGGCCAGAAGTGCACATCACAGTATCACAGGGCTCCTCACTTACTCTGTCCCTCTTCCTCTTCCTGTTTAAGGCCAGGTCTCTCCCATGCCTGGAAACCAGGTCCCTCTTCTTACCCCGCGGTGGCCGAGGGCCCTAACTCGTTCTCTGCTTCCCACACAGCCATTGAGGACGAGTACAGCGGGCCCAAGCTGGAGGACGGCAAAGTGACAATCACCTTCATGAAGGAGCTTATGCAGTGGTACAAGGAACAGAAGAAACTGCACCGGAAATGCGCCTACCAGGTAATGCACACAGCTGACACCCCGGGCCCCGACAGGATGCTAGAGAAGGCTGCACGACAGCTCCTGAGTTACCACGTGCACCTGTGTAGGGCTGCAGTGGTTTCGGGAGCGGCAGGCGATGCCATTCCACGTTGCAGAGACACGGGCCAGGTGGAGATACCTGCCGAAGGACATGGGAAGCGGGTAGGGGAGAGTAGGGCAGGTGGCTGGCACAAGTTCTGGGGGCAGAGAGGAAATGCGTGGTCAGCAGAGGCCTCTGGTGGTCAGAGTTGTCTCGAGAGTAGAGCAGCTCAGCCCTGCGACGCGGTCGGTGGGACACGGTGTCTCCTGCCGTGCAAGTTGGCTTCCCCAGAACTCACCTCTGGATGGGTGGAGGGGTGTGCGAAACGGTCAGAGACTTTGGCTTTGAGGCTGCTTTCTTAAGCCTTTCAGTTTCCTCTAACTCTGTCAAAGGACAAAATTACAGCAATTCATTTCAGGGTTTCAGTTCACTTTGTTTTTTACTCTAGAGTCTACGTTTCATTCCATAAAATAAAGCTGGTAAAGCTGGGCATACCGGCTTCCGGAAGTGTGGGAAACCTCTACCCTTCAGCCCCACGGCCAGATTTTTAGGTTGCTGAGTTCTCTTGTCTCCAGTTCTGCCCCCACTTTCACACCTTGGGGTCTCTGTGCACCCAGCTTTCTCACGCCTCCTGTGAAGGTCGTGCGAGTCAGCACCAGGAGCAGAGGCGGGCTGTGGCTGCGACTCCCTGGGCTTCTCTTCTGCCACCACAGCGCACGCTGGGCCACACGCAGTCACCGGCTTCCCCTCACACAGTCTGGGCAGGTTCCGCCTCTTCCCCAAGGAAAGGCTGGCTCCTCACCGTCCACACGCTGGTTCATTGAAGTTTCTCTGCATCCTGGCTCTCAGATTTTCGTTTGCTTTTTAAAATTTAATACTGTTGGCTATTTGGCTTGTTCTTGCCCTCAGCAATACTCTTTTTTAATTTTGTACCTTCTAACTAGAAGCAAACACCACTTACTTTTTTTTTTAACACTCTTCTCCCTGGCTTTTTATTTTGAAACCTGTCTCGCCTGCAGAGAAGTTGAAAGAACAGTGCCGTTAACATCTATACACACGTCGCTTACGTTCACCCCTTGCTAAGTTTGTTCCTCCGTGTGTGCTGGTGCACTGTTCTCTTCCTTTATTATCCTGGAACTACTTGAAAATAAGCTGCAAACATCATAACCTATACTTCCTAAAAGTAAAGGTATTTCCATGGTGATGAGGACTCGCTGTCCCCCTTGCTGATGAGACAGTCCTGACAAATGCTTGTGGTCCTCGGGGAATGTGCATAAAATTGGGAGACACTGGCAGAGACACAGCATTGTCCAGGTGACAGTAATCTGCCCTCCATTCCCAGGTGTTTTAGTTTTCCCCAGAACATCTGTTCAAGTGGGGAAAGTCTGGCCCCTTTTTGAAAGGACTTCTGTGACAGTAACTTTGAGATGTGTCCAGGCCAGTTTTTTTTCTTTGTCTTTCTGAGACAGAGTCTCATTATGCAGTTCAGACAGGCCTTGAGCTCACTTTGTAGCCCAGGCTGGTCTCGAACTCGCAAGGATCCTCCTGTCTCAGCTTCCCAAGTGCTGGGATTACAGGCGTGCGCCACCACGCCTGATCAGGCCAGTTCTCTATAAAGTTTTCTACAGTGTGAACTCGGCCTCACATTCCCTCATGCTGATGACTTGAAAAGAAACCAGAATTCAGGTTTTCAACCAGTTTTCTCCTGAAACGATACCGACTTTGCCCTCTCAGCAGCACCTGGGGCCTCCTCGGCCCAGCAGCACCCGCTCCTTGAGGGCTCCCGACCGTCATCTCCTCCTCTTCCTCCTCCTCCTCCTCAGCCCCAAGGGTCCCCCGGACGCCCAGGCTCGCCCTCTCACAGTCTGCCCTGCCTTCCAGATCCTGGTGCAGGTCAAAGAGGTCCTGTCCAAGCTGAGCACGCTCGTGGAGACCACGCTCAAAGAGGTGCGCGTCGTGGGCCAAGCGTGGGCAGGGGGCTCCCTGGCTGGGGGTGGGGAGGTCCCGAGCTCAGGAACCCACAGGCGCGCCTGGCACGGTCTGCCCTTTGCTCATGTCCCTCACACCACACCCTGCTGTGTTTCTTTCCTCCCGCATGCCCCCCCTCCTGGCCTCCTCATCTCTGCCCCCTGCTTCATTGCTGTGTCCCCTGCCTGTCACCCTTGCATGGATCCTCTCGGTCTGCCCTGACCTCTGCCCCCTCCCCACTTGTCTCTCTGGGCCCCTCCCTCTCCGGTGGCCTCTTTTCTTCCAGACAGAGAAGATTACAGTGTGCGGGGACACCCACGGCCAGTTCTATGACCTCCTCAACATATTTGAGCTCAACGGTTTACCCTCAGAGACCAACCCCTATGTATCCTTCTCAGCACAGCCCGCCTGGGTTTCCCACACCCCCGCCAGGGCCAGTCCCGTGCCCTCCCGTGACGCCTGGCCAGCAGCCCTGTGTCTCTGGGCCCCCGCTTTTCCTGTCTGCTCTGAGATCACACAAACAGCTGCACTGCTCACACTGTCCATCCCTCTGGGCCAGCTGGGGGACCTAGCAGGTTGCGTCCCCTCCTGGAGCCCGATCCCGCGTGGACCTGGGGTTGGGACGAGGTGAGCTGATGCGTGTGCGGTGCTGAGCACAGGCCCTGGCCCACACTCGTGGGTCGGGCGTTACGCTGTTTGCTGATAAACAGCCTCTGCAGGCCGCCTGCCTGTGCACTGGGCCAAGCCCTGTCCCGCCTCCCCTCTGGCTTTGGGGCTGCTTTGGGGAGACAGCTCAAGCAGCCGCCTGCCTGTGCCCCCAAGCCTGGACTTCCCTGAGACACAGGCCAGGTTGGCTCTCGGCGCCACCTCCCCAGGGGCAGATACCAGGCACTGAGCCCCCTCGGTCCTCTTCCTTGGGAAAGACTGCCAGGAGCCCCTCAGTGGGAGGCCCAGGAAGGAACAGCCCGTGTGGCCCGTCTTCTGCCACCCCCACTCACCAGCTTCCTTAGCGGGGCAGATATTTAACGGTGACTTCGTGGACCGCGGCTCCTTCTCCGTTGAAGTGATCCTCACCCTTTTCGGCTTTAAGCTCCTGTACCCAGATCACTTTCACCTACTTCGAGGTGAGCTTGGAGGCGGTGGGGCCGGGGCCATTGTGGGCAGAGTACTTGCCTTTGCGCTCAGCCTCCCATTCCTTTATCTGTAAATCAAGGGTAATCACTGCCGCAGTTCACCTGGTGAGGTCAGGGCTCACACCCAGGGACCTGGGTTGTGCGCTGGCCAGTGATGCCGAGCGCTCACGTCCTGCTGTGTGTTCCTATGACTCTTCAGGGGATGGCGAGCAGGGGCCATGAGGGCAGGGAGGTCTGTGACTTCCATTATCCCCCAGAAGAAGTACGTGCATCACATTTTTAAATCAATGAGGCACAGTTGGGGTGGTGAGGCCACTGGCTGGTTCAGCTGTGTAGCCCAGGCCATTGGTGCCACCTCCCCAGGCCTCTGGCTGGGCTCACTGCTTGTGACCTGTGGGGCGAGGGTAGGTCAAGGCTGTTGGGCTGGGGATGGCAGGGAGTGGAGGCTGCCCGAGGGCTCCTGGGCCAGGTAGGCAGGCAGGCAGGGGCTGCGCAGGCGCAGCCAGGGAGTTCCATGCTCCCGTGGTACAGCTGGGGCATGTGGGGCTCCCCTCACTCAGGCTGTCCTGGACAGCCTGCCAAGGTGTGCAGCTGAAGCAGGGATCTGAGCGGGGAAAGGGAGCAGGCAGGCAGGGACTTGCCTGTACCAAGGTCCTGGGGCAGCTCTGGTAGGTCCCGCTCTGGGTGACTGCGGTCCCACCCTCGGCCGTGGGGCTGTAGCAGTCCGGGGATCCTGGGGGAATGGCCATGAGCTTCCCCGCGCTGCTGTCGTTGGAGGACGCTGAGCAGAGCAGGGTCTGGGCTGCCTGGGGCGTCAGCACGTCCCCAGCCGCAGCACAGCCACAGACTGAGGACTAGGGGGCAGTGGTGGTGGTGAGAGGCTGCTAGACCCGGCGAGGAGAGGCCTGGGCCCTCCAGGTGGAGCCCAGAGCGTGTGCCAGAGAGCAGGCGTAAGTGTGGGGAAGGCGGGCCGGGGGGGCCTGCAGGTTTCCAGCTGAGACACCCTGAGCACTGCGGCTGCTGTTGATGGGGTCAGCATGCCTGTGGGTGTCACGGGATGGGGTCCCCAGGGTCTGTGAAGTTCAGAGTCCTCAATGGACACATAAGGGACAGCAAGGGCTTGGGGGACTGCAGCCCCCACAGGGGAGGGCCTGCCACCAAGGTGGGAAGTACTGCCGGGGAGGCCTGGAGCCAGGAAAGGGCAGTGAGGGACCCGGCGGGCGGCAGAGAGCTCAGGCCCGGGTCAGACCCTAGGCTGCTGGCAGTGGGGTCCGCCTCACCTCCCCGAGCCAGGGCGAGAGGGAGGTGAGCAAATGCAGGACAGAGCACGATGTGGCACCAGCTGTGGCAGGAAACTACTCTGTGTGCGGATGCCCTGCAGCCTGCCCTGGCAGCCCTGCTGTGGGGACCTGCAGTCCACTGGTCAGGCCCCAGCCCTGGTGCCACATGCATGGGCCCTCCTCAGCTCTGCTCCCTCACGCCAGTGTCCACACCTCCCTGAGGGTCTGTGCAGGGCCTGTGCCAGTGGATGACCCTGCCTGGGTCCCCAGGTGTGTTCCTGCGGGTGCCAGGCAGGGGGACGCTGAGGAACTTCTTCCACCCCATTGTCATGCCAGGCAACCATGAGACAGACAACATGAACCAGATCTATGGCTTTGAGGGCGAGGTGAAGGCCAAGTACACGGCCCAGATGTACGAGCTCTTCAGCGAGGTGTTTGAGTGGCTCCCGCTGGCCCAGTGCATCAACGGCAAAGTGCTGGTGAGGACGCCGCCGGGCCCCCTGCCCCCACAGTCAGGCAACCGGGTGGCCGGGCTGTGCTGGTGAAGTGAGGGGGGGCAGCTCCTCCCGCGTCCCAGCAGCACCCTGCCTCCCCCAGATCATGCACGGAGGCCTGTTCAGTGAAGACGGTGTCACCCTGGACGACATCCGGAAGATCGAGCGGAATCGGCAGCCCCCGGACTCGGGTGAGTGGGTGCGGTGACCACCCCTTCCTCCCGGGCTCATGTCTCCCGAAGGGAAGAGTGCCGGGCTCAGCCGTGAGCTGTACCCATGGCCCTGCTACCAGTGGGCTTTGTGCCCTTGGCAAGGAGCCCCGAGTCCCAAGAGTCACCTGTAATGTGGATCAATGCTGAGGCCTAACTGTGGGGCCAGGAGTGACCTGTGAGCCCAGGCCTGGAGGTGGGCAGGTCCCTGACGCTCCTTCCCGTCCCCACCAGGTCCCATGTGCGACCTGCTGTGGTCGGATCCACAGCCCCAGGTGAGTGACAGTGCCCAGGGGTTTGGGTCCTGGGCAGAGCGGGTGGGGCGGGGCCAGGAGCCGCCCTGAACCTCCCCGCTGCCTGCACCCCCAGAACGGGCGCTCCGTCAGCAAGCGGGGCGTGAGCTGTCAGTTTGGGCCGGATATCACCAAGGCCTTCCTGGAGGAGAACCACCTAGACTACATCATCCGCAGCCACGAGGTCAAGGCCGAGGGCTACGAGGTGGCACATGGCGGCCGCTGCGTCACGGTCTTCTCTGCCCCCAACTACTGGTGCGTCTCCACCTTCCCCGCCCAGGGCCTCCTCCCCACACCATAGGTTTTTGTCTCTTGATTCTAATTTTGTGTGATGGGCAGAAAGATGAAGGAGAGTAGATAAACCGCGCTGCCATTGATGGCCTCTGCCCGCCACTGCCGCACGCGGGGCTGAGCCCGCCCGGGTATTCCATCTTTTTCCTGTGATACCCCGAGACCCTTCTAAGGGGGAACTCGTTTTTCGTTTCTTTCCCTGAGTCCCCTGGCCTTTCCTCTCCCAGCGCCCCCATTTCTCTGGGGAAGACACTGGTTGGGCCAGGCTGACATCCCCACGATGCCCTGTAACACGGCTGTGTCCCCTGCGCCTCCTGGCACTCGGGGTTGGCCGGGCCCTGTCTCTGCTACCGCACTCTCCCTCGCCTTCGCGCCGCTGGACTCCCGCTGCCCCCGCTTGTGCCACCGCAGCTCCTTCCCCGCCCTGCGCGTTCCAGCGCTCTCCTGCCTCTTCTCCCATACCTGCCCAGGCGGCGACCCTGCCTCTCCCGCCCTCCCCTCTGCCCGCCCTTCCTGCTAACCCCCAGCCCTGAGCGCTGTCGCTGTGCCCCTGTCCCCACAGCGACCAGATGGGGAACAAAGCCTCCTACATCCACCTCCGGGGCTCCGACCTGCGGCCCCAGTTCCATCAGTTCACAGCAGTGGTGAGTCCCCCGGGGCCTCGGCCTGGGCAGCGGGCCCCACGGCGGGTGCGGGTGCTCACTGTGTCCCTCCGTCTGCCGCAGCCTCATCCCAACGTGAAGCCCATGGCCTACGCCAACACGCTGCTGCAGCTAGGGATGATGTGAGCCGGCGCAGGCGCACGCAGGGCCCCTCCGCGCCCTCCAGCCCGGCTGGGCAGAGCAGGCCCCGCCCCAGGGCACCGTTGGACCCCCTTTTACTTTGTAAAGTTTGTATTTATTCCCCTTTAGGTTTGCAGAGGGGGTGGGGGCAGAGCGGGGCTGGCCCGAGCGCTCCGGTCAGTACCGGAGCTGGAGCCGGAGCCGGAGCCGGCGCCGGCGGTGCTGGGGCGGCGAGGCCAGGGCATTCGGAGGAAGGCCGGGCTCTGGTGGGCGGGGCCGCGAGGGTGTCCCGCCCCTCGTTTGCATGGCTCCTCCCTCGCTAAAGCAATAGGGCCCGCCGCAGGCAGACCCAAGGAAGAGGGTCTTCAGGGAGGCCTCGCCTGCGCCCACCTCCTGGGAGCCCCAGGGTGGGGCTAGGCTGGGGCCCACCCCCTCCCCGGCTGTTTTATGTCTGTAATTAAATATGTTAAAATAAAGTCATTATTGTAAGTCACCTGGTCTCAGCTGGTGCCACCCGGTGCGACCTCGACCATTTCCTCTGGAGACCTGGGGCGGGAGCCTTCCAGTCCTCCTGCGCCGCGGAAACTGTAGATGTGAGCGCGACAGAAAGCTGCGCCGACCTGTGAGCCGTCCTCTGACTGCCCTGAAGCCTCCGAGCACTCGCTGCTTGGGAGCAGCCCCAGTCTGCTAACATTGCGGCATAGGTCCTGCCAGGTTTATTTTTCCTGTGGCCAGATATCTAATTTAAAAATCAGAAGCAGGAATATGCGCGGTCCACAAAACAGACATGCTGGTATATTTTTACATATCAGGAAAACTGTTCAAAATGACTATTCATAGTTCAGCTGTTGCAGAAAGAGGAACTACAGCAAAGTCGACCGCCATGAGTTACACCGAGCTTTTCCTAGCTATGAAAGTTAAAGCCTCAACTTCACAAACTGAGCAGGTTTGTGCTGAGTGACTTTCATGTCTTATTACAAAGTCGAGTTTGAGGCCAGCCGGCACCACATAATGAGACCCTTGTCCGAAAAAAACAAAAACAGAAACCTTAAGCCAGAAATAAAGTCTTGGTTCCAAATTAGACAGAAACCGCAAAAATAGCTGGTTCAGGACACAGCCACCTGCCAGTCGGATCACCGTGCGGGATTCCTGCCGCGTCTCCACACGTGAAAACAAGCTCAGGGGGAGTAGTTTTCTCCCAGTCCGGCCGGATTCCGCTGCCCACGGGATGAGCACAGGGAAGACAGCCCAGTCTGAAGCTGCCGGGGCCGCAGTCGAACAGGGCGTTTCTGCCGAGGCTGAGCGCGTGTTCCAGTTCACGCCCGAAAGTCCCAACTCCCAGCCCCTTGGGACGTCCTGTGCGGAGAGGAGCCTGTACGGAGGTGCTGGGCAGAGTGAAGTCGCTCGGGAGCGCCCGACCCGGTGGGAGCAGTGGTGTAAGGAGAGGTCAGGACGGAGACGGCAGTGTGAAGACTCGGGGAGGACGTGGCCATGAGGGAGGCGGGGCGCGGCCAAGGCCCCCCGCGCCTGCTGCCCGTGCTGTGTGGCCTGGTCAACCCCGACACCAACAAAGCAGCCCACGCCCAGGACAGAGACCGAAGAAACCAGCCCTGTCAGCGCCGCCACCTTGGACTTGCGGCTGCCAGAAGTAAGGAAATAAACTACTGTTCAAGCCCCGCAGGGATGGTGCTTGGTCCTTACAGGCCGAGGCGCAGAGAATAATACGTCGTGGGAAGGGCCTGTCGCCTGTGTACCTGTGATCACGTGTGTGCCCCTCAGAAAGGACGCGCAGTGTGGCTGCGGGGCTCCCGCGCCCTGCTCAGGAGGCCGGGTCGGGCCTGCCCTGTTCCCTCTCCTCGCTGCGGGGCCTTCCTGAGAGAGAGCTTTGCCGCGCCTTCCAGATGTGACCACTTCCCTCCCACCCTGCCCTGCGCTCGGTAACACAGAAAACGCAAGTCCCTAGGACGGTGGCCTTCACTGTGTATTGTTTTGTAAGTACTTTAAAGTCAGCCACAGTAGGTGTCACCGGTGACCCCGGCACTGGGGTGGCTGAGGCAGGCGGATCGAAGCTCTGTGGCCAGCCTGGGCAATTTAGTGAGAACCTGTCTCAAAAAGCAAAAATTTCCCCACCGTATCTAAATATGTTCATATATTTGAAGAAGCTTATATGTATACATGGGACAAGAGGCATGCAGCATTTTCTAATATGATGGTTAAGTCGTTAAAAAGGTTTGACTGCAGTTGATTGACAGGTGATTTCTCTGAACACTTTTCCCACTCTGACTCTCACAGTCAGTCCCACAAGGTCCCTAGAGTTAACAGGTAATAATTAAGCAGTTGTAGTTTACGGTACTGGAGACAGAACCCAGGGCCTTTACGCTGTACTACATCTTCAGTCCACTTTTTTACTGGTTTATTTTGAGGCAAAGTCTCACTACATTGCCCAGACTGATCTCAAACTTGTGTTCTTCCTGCCTCGGCCTCCCAGAGCGCTGTAATTACAGTGGTGCACCACCAGCCTGAGGCCAAGGTGCGGGCTGTGGCCTCTCCATCCACCCGCTGCCCAGGTCTCTCGGGCCGGAGGAGGGGTACCCACGCATCCTGGAGTGTGACCGGGACCCAGACCGGCTGGCAAATGTGACTCCCCGGCCGCAGGACCGGCCCTGGGTATCGGCCGAACGAGCTGTGGCTCTCACGTCTCCCACTAGGTGGCGCTCCAAGACCGAGCGTTAAAGACCTGTGACACCCCCCCCCCCACCAAGCGCTTGCGGGGAGCTGAGGCAAGGAGATCGCGAGTTAAAAGCCAGCCTAGGCTAGACAGACGACACCCCGGCTCAGAAACAGAAGAAAACCCCAGCGATGGCGCTTCCTTGCAGGTGCTTAAGGGCAGTAATGTGCGCAGCCGGATGCAGCGCTGACCTGGAGGCTGGAGTTTAATACTAACCACAGGCGCTGCAGTCTGAGCCACAGTCTGGCTGAACTCCAACCCCAGCGACTCGAGAGTCTCGGACTGGGCGACTCCCCCTTGCCGCCCCCAAAGCCCCAAAGCAGGGGGACGCAGGTTGCGGGGGTCGCGGGTCCTTCCTGCTCGTGCTGCAGGAACGCGATTCTCAGCGGGGTAAACGGAGGCACTGAGGGGCAGGAAGGGGCCGAGGTCTTAGGCTGATGGGGGTCCCCTTGGCCGGTCTGGGACAGGACAGCGGGCGCTCTCCGCTGCACACCCGCCCCGCGTTGCTCTCCTTTGTGACAAGTGGCGGCTGAGCTGGTCCGGGGAACAGCAGGTTTGAAGACCTCGGGGTGACGGCTCCGATACTTGTGTTTGAGACCACAGGCCCAGGGGCGGAATTTTGGAGCTGGCCCTGCAGGGACTACTTAAATCCTCTTTGTACGCAGAACAACAATGAGCACCCTCGCTGCCACCTCCGGGTTCCCAAAGGGACCGCTCCACCCTGAGTCCTCTGCTGACGCGGGCGCAGACGGCCACGAGCAGAACCCGCGCTTCGCCGCCGCTGCCGCCAGAGGGCGCAGTGTGCGCATCGCCGGCTCCCGCAGCCTCCCGGAACTCCCCACCCTGAGACTCAGCCTTCCCGCGCGTTTGAACCCTGGCCGGCCTTGTGCCTGTGAGTGACTTATAAACTCTGTCCAAACTCTCTAATGGCTTCGTGTGTCACTAAAGTCAAAGCCAAAGACCATACAATAGGCTGCACCTGTGCCGTTCAAGGAAATAGCCACTACCCACAGGGGACAATGTCAATTTCAGTGTAACTTCAGGCTCATATCCCTGAGCCTGCCTTGACCAGCTCTGGTCCACACCCTCTGCCTCCAACTTATGTCTCCCTTATTTCCCATCATCCTCTTCATGTCCCAAGTGGCTTCACTCCCTAACTCATCTCTGGATGCCAAGCACGTTCCTGCCTCAGGGCCTTTGCACTGTAGTTGTCCTTCTCCAGGACACTTACATGGTTTCTTCCTTCATGCAGTCTTTCTTCAAAGATCACACTGCCGGGGAGGGTTGTCCCAACCACCCTATTAGAATTGTAATCCTTTCCAGCCGGGTGAGCTGGTGCACACCTGTGACCTCAGCTACGCAGGAGGCTGAAGCAGGAAGATCTCAAGCTCAAGGCAATGTAGACAACTTTGTGAGACCGTGTCTCAGACTTTAAAATAAAAAGGGCTGAGGAGGTAGCTCAGGGCTCTCTGGGTTGAATCTGCAGTACTACAAATAAATACACAGCAACCCTTTGCACATACCCTTACTTTATTTTCCGACCTCTGCCTGCCCTCAGCACGTGACTTCTCAACACTGCGTCTTTGTCAGGGGGTCTAAGGGAGGAAACTGATGGCAGGATTGTGGCTGTCAGTAAGCACAGAAGGAAAGCGAGGGTGGTGTACACCTGTAATCCAGCATTCTGGGAGGCTGAGGCAGGAGGATCACAAGTTCAAGCCCAGCCCGGACAATTTAGCGACTTATTCGGATCCTATTTTTTTAAAAAATGTGGTCTGAGAGCTGTGACCTTAGGAGTTTCTTGATGAGTAAACGCTGGCCCCTCCAGGGCCAGGCCCAGTGCGTCGCCAAAAAGGCTACCTCCCTCTAAGGGTCGCTGCCTCCGTGGACTGGAGTTTAGAATGCAGCGCAACCTGCAGAGGAGCAGGCTGGGGAGATGGCTCAGTGGCATAAGCGCCTGCCAAGCACGAGGTCCTGAGTTCGATTCCCTACAAACACACACACACACACACACACACACACACACACACACACACAAAACCCGAAAAAACAGGCAGGCGAATCACCAGGAGGCGCGGAGAGTTAACGCAGGGGAGAGCTGTGTGTGCCTTAAGCTCGCAGCGGTATGCAGAGAGCGAGATGCGGGCGGGAGCAGGGCCTGGCCACTGCGGATCACTCCAGTCCTCCGCCTGAACCCGTGTTCTGCTCGGCTCCGGGGCTGAGTAGATTGGGATGCAGTGTCTCGTGCCAAACCTGGCCCGTTTTGTACACATCAGGTGCCAATCACTGAACAAGGAGAACCTCCCCATGGACCGGCTGGGGGTCATCGAAGGGAAGGCACCCGTGGGCTGCACACCTGTTCTTTATCTCCCGGGTCCTCCACGGGCCCTGTTCAGAAAAACAGCATTAAACCTAGTGTGGTGGCGCTCACCTGTAATCCCAGCACTCTGGGAGGCTGAGGCAGGAGGATCGCAAATCAGAGCCCAGCCTGGGCAATTTAACAAGAACCTGCCTCAAAAACAAAAGGCAAAAAGGGCTGGGTATTAGCTCAACACAAAAGCTCTGGGAAGTAGCAAGGACGATGAGGTGAGTGCTCCTTAAGAGACGGGGAGACTTTTACAGGGGATTAATGGTAGCATCTTTTGCTGTTTAAGTTTTTAGAATGTCAGCCCACACTGTGTCTTGATCGGCCGGCGGGGCGGAGCCTGTGGGTGTGGGTCTGTATCTGTGCCCATGTTAGGCGTGCCGGGGCCTGGGTCTGTGTGTGCAACATGCACACAAGCGTGAGAGCAAAGGAGGTGTGGCTGGCCGTGGCCAATGCAGCGCACAGCCCCGTGTCGAAGCTGTCTGGCCTCTGTGTGTGGCACACACCCCTTTCCCTCCCGAGCTGTCACCCAAGACCCCTTGAGCTCCAGACCCTGAAGGGGGGACATGCGGAAACCCACTCGGGCTCCAGTGTTGCCGTCGCTCTCGGCACCTCGCTTTTACCTTCCGCTGCCCGGGTCTCTGAGGTCTTGATCCCACTTCCCGCCCAGTCTCAGGCGGGCAGCAGCAAAGCGCAGCCTCACCAGTGGGGACAGCCTGGCTCCGCCCCATCCTGCCAAGCCCCCTGCCTCCATGTGGGGCCTCGAACTGGGCCTCTCTGCGGCCAGGAACAAAACAGGGGTGTCCACCCCCAAGGGCAAAGGGGCTCGGGAGGGCCACCTGGGCATCTGTAACCGCTTCCTTTCTGAAGAAAACAGGAGGGGCTGGGCGTGGGCGCCGAGGCAGAGCAGGCGCCCGGCATTCACGAGGCCCTGGGCTTGGACCCCGGCCCTGCAAAAAAGGTGGGTGGCCCTGGGAATCATTCGTCAGCTTCTCCATCTGTAAACACAGGACGGACTTGAGGCTGGTCTCGCTGTCCTTCTGCTGGGGACGTGGGGAGATGTCCCCCAGTTTCCCCCAGGCCTCCAGGAGGCCTTGACTGCCCATCTCTCCTGGATGTAGGAACCATTTTGGAGCAGGACTCCAGCGCCCCCACTGGTCTGTTCCCCTCATACCCACTTTTCCCTTCCCGCAGGGGCCACGCCCCCTAGATGTTCCTGGGGCTGGATTAACACCGCCTTGAGGACCCCACCCGGGCCAGCTCAGGCAAAACCACCTCCTGGGCACCACGGACCCCAGAGCCTGTGTTTGGAATGTGTTTGCCAGGTAACCTTCTGTAGCTCATCACCAAGATGGGGGTGAAATGTGTGAACCACAGGCCCAAACTCGCAAGGGCCAGGGGCACGGGGACCGCAAGCAGAGTGACAACGCAGGACGGGGTCCCCAACATCCAGGATGGAAGAACAGCCAGCGAGGCCCGTATCACCCCAGAGCGCTCTAAATTGCCCAGTCTGAGCTCAGAAATCAACTGGTAAACGTTTTTATTGGCATGTTGGCTTGAGATCTCTCCAGTTCAAGGAGGTAGTGGATGTAACATGCGCGGGCAAAAGGGTGAGGGCAGAGGACCATCCCGCCCTGCCCGCCGCCTCCCGTTCCAGGCTGAGCAGGTAGGGTCGTGTCTGAAAAAGTTAAAAGCACGGGCGACTGAACCCCGCCATCTCAGTTCCCCTCTTGACGTTCTTCAGGACACTAAAGGGAGTCGGTATTGAAAACAGCAATGAATGCACACAAGATACAATAAGTCAGAGAGCGGGGCCCTGGAGGAGCTGCCTGCCCCGCTGCCCGCCTCCACTGCATAGCCCGCAGGGAGGCACACCCGGGGCCCCTCACAGCTGGTCTTCTAGCTCTCCCTGCCCGCCCTCAGCCCCGCCCTGAGCCCTCAGCACCCTGAGGCTCCTGCCCTCCCCTGCCCTGGGGACTCTCTTGGGCAGGGCTGGGTGCCAGAGGGTTCTCCTGCACTTTCGAAACCACGAAAAGCGCCCAGGGGTCTGGAACCTCACTGTCTTGACCTGTTTCTGGCGCCTGGCTTCTGGGGCTGTCCCTGCGTCCCCCTGGGCTGCTGAAGATCCTGCTTCCTGGATAGCCTGGGCTCCGGCTCCTTCCCGCTGGTCAGCCCTGGCCTCTGCCCTTGGATTATCTGCGGCTCCCGCTCCCTGGGAAACGGAAGCTCCTGCCCTCCGATGATCTTCAGCCACTGCCCTCTGGGCATCTGCAGCCTCAGGCCCCTGCTCAGCTGGGACAGCCACCCCACGAGCTGAGGATGCTACGTCCTCCTTCCCGCGACGCCTAAACGAGGCCCAGGTGACCTTGGGCCTCCAGCGCCTGGGGGAGCGCTCCAGCACACCCCTGTCTCCTGGGCGGGCCAGGTCAGCCCCGCGGCTGGGGGACGCCCCATCTCCCTCCCCTGCCACGGCGGCCTGGTGAGCCTCGTCCTCCTCAGGGCCAGACCTCAGTGCCCAGCCCTTCACCCGCTGCTTCAGCTTCCCCCAGGACGCCGGGCTGGCACACTCTCGCCACCTGTCCGCCTTGGACAGCGGGGGCCCCAGGGTGTCCTCAAACGCAGGAGGGGCGCCGTGGCCGGCAGACGGCTCGCCGGGCTGCGCCTCCCCGGGCTGGAGGAAGGCCTGGACCAGCTCCTCATCGTCCTCCCTCTCCAGGTCGCTCCCCAGGAACTTGCTGCCCAGGTAACTGACCGGCATTCTGCGCGCCCTCCGGGCACGGCCTGGGCCTTGGCCCACGGAGCTCTCGAAATCGCTGAACTCGCTGTCGCTGGCGTTGCTGCTGTCGTAGGTGCCGACGACCAGGTGAGGCAGAGGAGTGACCGCCTGCTGCACGCGCCTCCTGGTTCGCGGCTCCCGGGGCTTTTTGGGGGGCTGGCGTGGGTGCGGGGTGCTCTTCTCGATGATGCGCGCCACGTCCTCCAGGGTGCGGCCCTCTTCCTCCAGAAACTGGATCAGCCGCTCCCGAAACTCCGCGTCCTTGGTGGCGGGCTTGGAGATGACCCTCCACACGCCGCCGGCCAGCCTGACCTCCCGCGGGATGAGCAGGTGGTCCACGTCCTCCCCGATCTGCAGCATCCCCACCGTGGAGTCCTCCTCCTTGCGGAACACCTTGCCGATCTTCGTGAAGGTCCCCACGGGCTTCAAGGCCTCCACGAGGACGTCGAGATCCACGTCTTTGCAGACATCGGGGACGCTAAAGAGGATCAGGCAGTCGGGGGCCGGGAGGAAGCCCCAGGGGAACCAGCCCCCCACATGGCTTTTCTCTAGCGTCTTTAAGATCTCCAGGGTGAGACCTGGGGTGGGGACCCCTTGTCCTGGGGGAAGCGGAAAAGGAGGTCCCGGCAAAGCCGCCCGCCCGAGAGCCGCGCCTCCCCAGCAGGGAAGAGGGGCCCCCTCGCCGCGCTCGCCCCGAGATTTGTGCAGTCACGTCCCAAGCGCCTGCGTGGGCGGGCGGGGGAGGTCAGGGCCGAGGCTCCAAGCCGACGTGGTGTCCCGGCTCCAAGATGGGGCGCCTGGGCCGCGGGAGCTTCTTCCCGCCCCCGTCCGGAGCCAGGAACGCGACTGGGCACCGAGGAGGGACCGAGGAGGGGACCTCGTGGACAAAGGCGGCTCCGCGCGGCGGGTCCGCAGGCCGGGGCGCCCCGAGACCTTCAGCGCGGCCCCCGAGGGTCTGCAGCCCGCGTCGGTGACCTCGCCGCGGCCGAGCGAGCGGAGGGCGCACGGCAGGAAGTTCCGCGCCCCTCCCGAGCCGGGCCCACCTCCCCTCTCGGCTTACACGCAGACTGACAGGGGGGCCGTCCACTCCCTTCGGGGCGGCCGCCCTCCCCTCCCCCGGGGGTGTGGCCGCGCCCCGGGGCTCGCCGGGCCCACGTAAGCGCCTTCCCCAAAGGCCGTGCCCAAAGCTGCCATGCCAGGGTCCAGGTTTCCATGTGCTAACGGTGCCGGCCTTTGAGGGCCAGGACGCCGGCCAGGACCGTGATGGGGTCACGGACCGTGGGTGCCGACACTTCCGACCCCGTACCCAAGCGCGCGGGGAGAGATGGGAGAGGGTCTCAGCGCTGGTCCCCAGCAAAGCGGTTGCTGCACAGTTCACGCTCAGTAAACTTCCTTCCTCCCCCCCTCCCTCCTTCTCTCTCTGTCTTTCTTTCTTTCTTTGAGACAGGGTCTTGCCGGGTAGCTCAGGCTAGCTTTGAACTCACCATGTAGCCAGGGCTGACCTGCAACTCATAGCGATCCTCCTGCCTCAGCCTCCCGAGTGCTGGAATTACAGGCATGCGCCACCAACCCCAGCAATATACACACTAGAGTGAATGAGTGAACCTAAATGCTCACCTGTAGGGAGCTTGTAGTGAAATGCTATGCAGCTAAAGAAAAGAATAAGTGCCCCAGGGTAGGCAGAATTTGTGGAGCACTTTCTAGTTCCAGGCACCATCCTGTATGCTTTCTATGCAACCCTCACCATAACACTGGCACAGCCGGGGATATAGCTCAGTGGCACAAGCGCCTGTCTGGCAAGCACAAGGTCCTGAGTTCGATTCCCAGTACCAAAAATAAATAAATAAATAAATAAATAAATAAAAAACACTGGCACAGCGTTCCCATTATACAGCTGGGGAAACTAAGGCCCAAGGGAATCTTCTGCTCAAGGTCCCATAGCCAGGAAGTGGTAAAGTCTGGATTTGAATCCAGAACAGCCTGACTTTTGTGTGTAGCAGAATCCAGATGTGTATCTAGGCTGGTCACTTACATTAGAGCTGCTAGCAGCAGCTATTTCTGGGAACGGGGCCCCCCTCCCAAAGGCAGGAGAGATGTGTACTTTTCATGCTATACACCCTTCTGAATTACTTGGATTCTCAACACTCAACAATGTTAATTAGCCAGGTATGGTGGTATGTGTCACTTGTAATCCCAGCCACTCAGGAGGCTGAGACAGGAAGTTCCATAGTTTGAGGTCAACCTGGACAGTTTAGTGAGACCCTGTCTCAAAATAAAATTTTAAAAGAGAGGGAGGTGGAGAGGTAGCACAGTGTTCCATTCAATCCTCAATACTGCCAAAAAAAAAAAAAGTTAAAATGAATTCACTAAAGTCCAAGGTCCTTAGACCCCACCACAGACACCCCGGGTCAAGATCTGCAGTTTCCTGGGTAATTCTGAGGCAGCCAGCTCAGCAGCAAAACAGACCTCACAGCTGCTCCCGCAGTGGCTGCAGAAATAGCCGCTACCTTGCTGGGAGCCTGCTTTTGCGTGGGGGTGAGGCTGGTCTGAAGCCACAGAGCCCTGAGTAGAGGCTCTGATGTTTGTACCAGGTCCTAAGTACTAGAGTAAAGGACCCGGGCAGGGTGTGACCCACAGCCAGTTCTCACGGGCCGGGTAAGCGCTTTAGAGTGGCAGGCTCATCGCAAGCCTGGGTGAATACAAATAGATTCCAGGCTCCTGCTCCCCCGTTCTAGCGACATCCCCACACAGCAGCTGGGAGACGGAGGTCTTTCAAAAACTAAGGTCAGCTCTGTCTCTACTCATTTGAAAATCTCCACCTCACTCAGATTAAAAATCAAAGCCCATGACTGATGTAAAATCTACCTCTCCCTCCTCCAGCCCTTTCCCTAGACTCCAGTGGGCCAGGCTTGCTGCCACCACAGGCCCTTTGCACATGCCTTCCCTCCCCAGCCAGTGTGAGTGCAGTGCTAATAATTCAGGAAGGAACCGGAGCTACATCCCCAGCCCTTTTTCATTTTGTGACAGAGTCTCTTTAAATCGGTAAATGACCCAAGCTGGGGCAGGGACTTGCAATCCTCCTGCCTCAGCCTCCCAGGTGGCTAGGATTCTTTTCTTTAAAAGAAATGAGAAATCAGAAAAGAATGGAGAAAGAAAACAAAACATGGTTCCATTCCTCTACCAGCTGTCCTTTACAGTCATTGTATATTTATAGATTTATTTCTTTGTGTATTTTGTGTGAGGAGTGAGGCTGGTGGTAAGACTTCTCTCCTGGCTGATATTTATAATCTTGGCACAATCGCCAGATTTTTTCCGAGTCTTAAATGCCCAGAAATCTAAGTGCCCTGTCCAGCATGGACAAAGATACAAATTATCCACACTTCTGAGCCAGGCACCAGTGGGATAACTGCCATCGCCGGAAGTAGGTTCCCGAAAGATACGGTAAGAAGTAGCACTGTGGTCAGCACACTGGCCACTGCACTGGGTCCCTTTCAAATCTGAACCTATCAACCTATCAAATCTGAAAGCCGTCTGGGGGGTGTGAAGCAACAACGGTAGTTTAAGAGCACCATTCATTCATTCGTTCATTCAGCACCTTTCTTGACTATAGTGGTTCTCATTTCTGGAATGCGTTCGAATCACTGGGGAAAGCTTTAGAAGTCAGTTTCCAGAGTCCAACCTGCTGGATCAGAATGTCTTAGGGTGAGGGTG